AAAGAAAGAAAGAAAGAAAGAAAGAAAGAAAGAAAGAAAGAAAGAAAGAAAGAAAGAAAAACAAAAGAAAACACAGGGCTTCTGAATCATCAGAGCCCAGTTCTATCACAGTTTGAACTCTCTGGTGTTGTGGAAACACTCGTGTTGTGTCAGGAGCGTGATCAGCTTCACTGGACCAGCTCGAATGTCAACCAAGAAAACGCAACTTATTACTATTCTGATCAGTCCTTTACAGAGCATCAGGGCTGAGGCTACTCCTACATATAATATACATCAGATAATTATTTTCACCATCTACTATGTTTAGAGTATCAGGAGGAAAAGTGAAAAAAAGTTCACCTCAACATTAAATAACAGTGGTTCCGAACAAAATAGAACCAACTCGGTTTCCATTTCTCGCTATAAAACTGTATAAAGAGGAGCTTCGTCCTCTTACAGTAAATAACCACCCAGTATTGCATTGGACAATAAAGAATAGGGTCATTTAATCAGTATTTCATCAGATACCAATTAAGAAGAGCCCAGTGCAATTAGGTAGTCAATCTACAAATGGAAACATCTGAAAATGCAAATATTAAAATCTCTAAAACATCCAGATGATTCTTTCCCAAAAGTTTTTTTTTCTTTTTTTCTTAAATCAGAACATGCAATAGTCAAAACTGTTTCCTCAAAAACAGGATTTAAATACCGAGATCCAAAGATCTGTAAATCGTAAGAACAATTATGCAGTCACTCTACCAAACTGTGTGGATTAATATGGCAAATATGCTTTAGATCGGGGTCGTCTGCACCCAGTCAAATAAGAGTGAGACAGAGAGAGGCTGTCGTCTCCAGACTACTTAAAAACCTCCCGTTGTTGACAGTCTGTGCAGGAAGAGGACAAGAAACAAGACAAAGCAGTTGCACAATATCATGGTGTTCAAGCACGTACTGTATATTTAAAAAAAAAAAAAAAAAAGGATTTCAAACCAGGGAAATGACCAACTGTGCCATGTTCAGGAAGGAGGACAACCTCTCAGAATCCAACATCAGATACGCTTTCCGTACGCCAGAACTGGAAGGAGAGTGCTTTCAAAAGACGAACAGGCTGTGTTCATCAGCAGCAACACTTTCAATTTGTGATTTCACCGTCTCAGCGCTTTACATTCTGCTTCTGCCAGATGCCAACATTTATCTACTTTTGGTATTTTTTTTTTTGCATCACTTCCACCTGATCTGCAAGAATGTGGATGACGACCGATGGGGGTGGGCTTTGTTGCACTACATGAAGGTGCATCAAAAATAAGTTTCATTCTTTATCTCACAATTCTACATGCACACTGCTTGGGAAAGAAAAAGCTAATGAGAGTGTAGAAGGAGATTGAGATCCAATATTGATGGCCCCTTTTCTTACAAAGGTCCCTGCAAGTATCAGCATTTTCAAGGCAATTATTTATGCATCTGAAAATAAATATGAAATTAGCTTTTGGGAGAAAAAAAAAAATCCCATAAAAACAGGACCGGAGACATTTTTGCACAACTGGTTTAATACTATTTCAGATTTTTTTAAATATATATTTTTTTTACCATGCTGCAGAGACCTTTTGTCACCCAGATAGCGTATGAGAAAAACTTTTTATTTGGTTGGGAATACCGATCAGTTATTTCTTTTAATTTCCTTCTGCACAAATATGAAAAACTCAGCCTTTAAGTGATTATGGTACAACATCAAAGCACTTTGGTTTTCACTCAGATTACTGAGGACTTGTGCATGTTACGTGCTGATTGCAAAAAAAAAAAGGTAAAATAACAAGATATCAAGAAAGACGCCGTCCCAGCCAGCTGCCTTTTGAAAAAAGTGGGGGGAAATCGGTACCAAGAAGCTCACAAGCATTGCTTCTCGTGTGCATGTGCCAAACCAGACTGTGCACAAAAAAGAGAATAAAATACATATTGTGCTGTGTCAGAATAGAAGTATGGCTTGGTAAGAAAACATTCAGCCACTGGAAGGAAAATGCTCGTGGTCATTCACACCGTTGGTGGGGGGGAGGTTTGCGTGATTCAATAATTTAACACGATGTAGGAAACTCATGAGGAAGTTGGTTAGTGAGGTTAAAAAAAAAAAGGAAATCTGGAATGATAAATGGCTTATTGAGTCCTCAGCAGAGATGCATGTCACTCTTCTGCTTACAGTAACACCATCAGCGGGTTGGCCTGAGCTTTGGGAGAAATCTACAGTACCTCTAACACTGCTTCCAGCCACACCTATCACAGCCACGTTTAGGGCACAAGTACCTATAAGTAGCATGAACACTAGAGATAGAAATATTCTCAATCGTCATATAAAAAAAAAAAGGGTTTATATTATATATAGCAGTTCTACAGTATGTATGAATACAAGAGTGTGGCTGTTCTTTTTTTTATGTAGAGTGGATGTTACTATATTTTCCACAAGTTATATATTATTATTGCACTCTGGCTACACATATTTAGTAAGTTAATTTGGTTGTCTTTAGATGTACAGAAACACAGGTGTCAGAGCTGATCCAGCTTGAAAACAGTAGTAGAAGAGCGGCTCAGTGATACCAGGCTTTGTTTTTGTTTTTTTAAATATTAAATTTTGTTCATGATGTCTCATAGCTAGCAGCTTACAGAGATATGTAGCTGCTTGCAAGATGCTGTTTTTTTCAAAATTTTCAGGATAAATAAATACATTTTTATCACGATTCCTTTAAAATAACAGCCAAATTTCAATTGAAAATCGTGTAGACAGGGCACAGGTTTAGCCATTTACCCCGAACATATAGCACTAGATATACAAATATATATATCAGCAGTTGTTTTTGCAGTTATCCATCTAAAATGCATCACTGAGTCCCCTTCTTACGACTGTTATTTAGACACTAGATACACAGAAATCTGAGACAAAGCTACAGAAACACGTCACACCCCTGTTCTCTTCTTTCTCTTTTCCGAAATAGAAAAATAAAATCCCTCTCCTCAACCTCAGCTAGCAGACTGAGAGGAGGGTCGATGTCCTTCCCCGCTCTCTCTCTCTCTCTCTCTCTCTCTCTCTTTTTCACTCTCTCAGTTTTGAAAAGAAACATACATTCACAAGAGGACAACAGAGGAAAAAAAAAACAAGCAACTTGAAATTCAAATTTGTGTGCAAAAACATTTTAGATCTCTATAAAAATATGTGCATATGGATAGAGCTATTTTTAATCTCACCAAATACAGTATTTTCCTTTATTTACAATGCACAGATACACAAAGAAACAAACACTACAGCTCTGCCCTGCTTCCCCTCTCTGTCGATGCAAGCATCAGAATAACATGGCCGACTTCCATGACAACAGATGTGACGATACTCGCACATAGGAAAACACACGCTCACTCACACACGCTCACGCTCACACGCACACACACACACTTCTGCTCTGATCAATGTGATCGAGGAGCAGCGGAGGGGCAAGCAGAACTTCTGTAGAAAACCTGAAGTTGCATATCCCACGATTCTCCCCACGCTCGCATGTCACAAACCGCTTCCTGTAAAGGTCAGAGGTTATCAGCCAGACGCTGCTTCCTGATTGGCTCACGTGGGTGAGGACAGTGTGTGAAAAAAACTTTGGCTACGGAGTTTAGGTGGCTTTAGTCCTGGTGCGTCATTAGTATTAGTCCCGAACACACCACGTACAGTGAGTACTGGTACAGCCTCGGTGGATCTGCTGTCTTTCAAGCTGGGTTTAGAAAAAAAAGGATCCCTTCTCTGTTATTCTGGGACGAGTCTATACCAGCATCTGGAGAGAGAAATCAATGTCCTTTTTACTATCCGTCTCAACAACAAAAAAAACAAAAAAAACCAAAATAAAATAAAACCCCTCTCCCAGTAAACTTGATCTCGATCCAGCATCAATCTCTGCTGAGGTCAACAACTCCAGCTGCAGAGATTTGGAACAATTCGCCTCCTGAATCAAAACGCTCGACGTTTACTGGGCGGTCCTCCGATTCTTTGCACTGAATCCAGCACTGCTTCCCAGTCTGTTGTCGAAAGGGGAGGAGCAGGTGGCTGTATCGGCGTCTGACATGCCAGCTGACAGGCCGCTCGTGTATCTGGACTGTGGTTGGTCGAAGGTGAACTGGGGCAGGGGGATGTACTCTCCGGTGAGGGGGTGCCTCGTAGCGGGGGAGAGGGGGCGTGAGAACGCCATGGCGTTCGGGATGAGAGGCGCGTGAGGCTGGATGAAGATGTTGGGGCTGATGGGGATGTGTGTGGGCGTGGACGCCGGCGGTGGAGTGTACGCCTGAGTGTGCGTCGGGGTGGACGAAGGGGTCAGTGCGTGGGTCGGGGAGTGTGCTTGGATAGGCGTCAGCGGCGTTTGCATCTGTGTGTCGGCCGAGACGTCTTGCGTACTTGACTGTGTGTGTGGTGTCAAGTCGTAGGAGGGCGTCCTGCGTCTCAGCATCATGCTGCAATCAGCCAGTTTTGGGGGTGAGGCGATTTGGGGATGTTCCTTCTCGGCGGGCGGGTGGATGGATATACAGGGAGGGCTCATCTTCTTCTTTCTGTGGTTGCTCCCGACTGACTGCACCCTCATGGGGAATCCCTGACCTTTGTCCGGTCGACGTACGTCCTGGGTAAAGTGTTGGTTATCTCCTGTTATGACGGCCTGCGGAAGGCAGACCTCGATGGAATGGCGCCGATGGTCGTCTGAGTGACCAATGGACAGTGACGACGGCTTGTCCAGGAAGCCCCGGTTGTCAACGCTAAAGCCTTTCCTGAAGTCGTGGTCCTTCAATCCCGCCCCGAGCAGACTGAGCGCGCTCCGTGAGGAGGAAGGCGGCAGCGGGGGAGGAAGAGGGGAGGAGGCGGAGTCGAGAGAGCACGGCAAGGTGCACGGCGACAGGGAGTGACTGCGGCCGCTCTTCCCCCTGCTCCCCTGGCCCTCGTCTTCCTCGTCCCTCCACCTGAGGTGAGCGGAGGTGGTGATGTGATACACCTCCTCGTCGGCCGGGTCGGAGAGGGAGACGGCGGAGGGTGGCCGGGGTCTCCGGAGGCTCGGAGGGCGCAGGGGGAGGCGGGGGGAGGGAGGTGGCGGGAGAAGAAGCGGGGGGGAAGACAGTAGCAGCGGGAGAGGGGAGGGAGACGGAGGAGGCAGTGGGAAGGGAGAGGGGGAGCAGGGTGGCAGGGAGAGGGCTGAGGGAGAAGGAGGGGGAGGCAGAGGCGATGAGGAGGAGGTAAAAGAACGGGGAGAAGGGGAGTGGGAGGGGAGGAGGACGGCAGCAAGCCTCTCTGGGTGCTCACAACTCTGGGACTCCACAGAATCCACTTTAACTGCCACCTGCAAAGTACAGAAACATCCCACAATGACGCACTGTAAGTCTGCATGACTGTTAACGTGTAATATGAGTCTACAGTGACTATAGAAAGGATTCACTCAGACATTTTGATATTTTGCTGTAAAATAATTTGATTATAAATCTCCCACTTGTAGTTAGAAGAATGGTGGTAAATACTAGCTAGCATCTAACTGCCTCAGAGGAGTCATGGGTGTCTTGGTGGCCTCCTTCACGCTCATTTTTTAAGACAGATTTACACATGTGCCACATTCCTAAAACTTCTTAATGATGGATTTAGCTGGACTCTGAGGGATTTTCAGTGAGGCGGAAATTTCCCTGTATCCATCCTAACTTATGTGTTTCAACAATCTTTTTTTTACAAAGTTCGTTGGAGTGTTTTTTTTTGTCTTCATAGCCAGTAGTACTGATTTACTAATGACTGGACCTTTGAGCTACAAGTGTCTTTGTACTACAATTATTAGAGACACATTCATTGCACTTAGATGAGCCCTATTTTACTAACTGTGTGACTTCCAACCCCACCTACAGTCGTCCTCAAATGTATTCACACCCTTCAAATAAAGAAAAGGCAAAATTCACAATAGTCACTCAAATAACCAGAAAATGAAAAAAGTAATAATAAACTAAAATTTGTTAAGTTTTAATTTAGGGAAACAAGATGTTGCTTTTGAATTGTGGTTGAAAAGAATAATTAAAAAAAAAAAAAAAACCTGTCCTGGACAAATCAGAGCTCTTTGCTGATGAGCAGTGGACCAGAACACCTGACAACAGGTGAGAAGTCTGACTGAGAGTTACAGAAAACACCTGATGGCAGTGATTGGCTCAAAGCGTTGTCCCATCATGTTTGTTTTTTTTTTTTTTGGCAAACATTTCTGTTGAACCACAATTCAAAAGCGATGTCATGGTTTTCATAAAATTTTTATTTATTGGGCGCCACGATAGCTCAACTGGCGTCCCACGTACTGGGGCTATCGTCCCCCATGTAGCGGCCGTGGGTTTGAGTCCCGCTCATGGCCCTTTCCTGCAAGTCCTTCCCCCATTCTTCTCCCCCACTTTCCTGTCTCTCTCTCTCTCGAATGTCCTATCTAAGAAACGCAAAAAGGCCCAAAAAATAACTTTAAAAAATATTTATTTATTATTACTTTAGTCAAATTTAACTTATTTCAGTGACAGTTGGAGGGTATGAATATATTTGAGGACGGCTGTATGTTGAACAACGAGTCACTTTCAAGCAATACTTAAGCAATCACTTGTTTTTCCTTTTGATATTTTTCATTAATTGACATTTCTTTATAGAAATATGTTTTCACTTTGACACGAAAGAGTCTTTTTCCTGTAAATTCTCATCCAAAAAAGACAAATTAATTTAAAACTAGATTCAATGCTGAAAAGCAACCAAGGGGGTCGAATATGAAACAGGGTCTCTCACCTGTCTGTGCAGGGCCCGTGGTGAGGGGCTGGGTGTTGGCGGGGCGATGCGGGGCAGGGTGAGGGTGGGACGGTGAACGGGGGAAACGTCTGGGACCTGCAGCAGGGAGCGGCTCTCGCAAGGCTGAGAGTGGACCGACATCACTGAAACTGCAGCGAGAGACGAGCCGAGTTTAAACCACACACATCCGGTTACCATCACATGTACGTTGAATACTTACACATGCATTTTTGCATAAAACACATGCATAGTTGGTCATACGCAAACACACAAACACTATTTCCTATTACTTTGGGGTAGGTTCAAATTATTACGCTTGAATAATCTCTAGAAAAGTATCACATCAGCAACACTTTATTGTGATAGAACTTTTAAACAATTCAATTAAACATTCAGTCATACTTGAGTCGCAACTGCATTAATTTGCTATCAAAATAAAGTGTTTTCTTGCACATAGAGTAGCTTGCTGATCAGAACAGAACTGCTGTGTTGAGCAGCAGCACTGAACTGCGGTTTGCTGGACGTAATACTCCGCATTAGATCCTGGTTACAGCTGCAGTTTCACGCGACTGTATTAAGTCTTGACAGCATGTAGCACTTTCACGTGTCATCTGTCAAGTGCATGGCGAGATGAAGTGAAAGAAATTCCATCAGAAGTTCACTCTGTGTTTAATTACAGCTGTGAAACTATATAACCAGGGTCTTAGGCTTTCTGCACACACAGGTCCAGTAAACGTGTGAGTTCAGATCTAATTAAACTTAAACAAAACAAAAACACAAGTTGCAGCAAAGTCAGAGTTAGATCACAAACAAGTTCATCTTAAGTTGATACTTTCAGTTCAAGCTGCAAAGTCATTGGATTATAAATCTCCAACTGGTTAAGAGGCCAACCACAGCGGCTGTGAGGTTTTTAATGTGTTTTACGGTTTTCTGACTTTGCAGCTTGGCCATGAAGTTAACCGTCATTCCAGTTTTAGTTTCCGCCATTTCACAGCTGAGCGGATGAGCCTGTTGTGAAGGTGGTTCACATTGTTCCGACTCATCCACTGCAGTCAGTACCTTCGGACAGAGCCGGGTCTGTCCACAGCCTGGCCACAACATGCCATTAGATTCTGACTGCAGATAAAACAGTTCTCGTCAGTGCTTAGACAAGTTTACTGTGCGTGTTTAATTTATTTATTCTTTGTTTTCTTGCTTCAACTTTGATTGTTTATTGAAAAAAGCTGGAAACAGAGAGAAAAAAAAAAAAGCACAAAATATTCAAGTCGACAGTATTCCTCAAATGTCAGAGCAATTGTTGTTGTGCTTCTAAATCTAGTCCGCTCTTCTCCATACGTCCAACACCGACAAATTCAGCAAACCTTTCCCGAGGCCAGGTTCTGCATCTGTACCTGTTTCTTTTCTTGAATTTACCAAAATCCTCATATTTAACCTACGTTCAAATTCTAAACTGCAAACACAACTCCTACTGTTACTGATAGTAAAATATGAGCATCTTGTCACATTATTTAAAAAAAAGAAAAGAAATGTAGACATATAACATCTCCAACTCTCATGCTAGTAGTTAAGACTTATGGGATAAGCTGCTAACGTTGCTGTATCCCAGTAAAATAATAGTTTAGACATTAATTATATAATCTATCTATCTATCTATCTATCTATCTATCTATCTATCTATCTATCTATCTATCTATCTATCTATCTTAATCTTGAATTAAAATAACTTCAGCTTCCATCATTTTATTGATTCTAATTTAGGTGCGCTCCAGAAATTCTGTGTTGGAGGTTTAACAGCGCTGAAAACTGTGAGTATTTTAGCACACTTTTTCTTTATTTGACTACTAATCAGTAGACTAGAGGCGTAGATTACTGAATAAAAGTTAAGAACGTCATTTAAAAATGACAGCATTAGGCAGGTTATCTTACAATCACTGATGTTAGCTTGTTGCTACAAAGATGCATGCATCATGTTTCAGTCCATGTGAGGTTTAGTGGCTGTTCAACAGAATACAAAAACGCTCCATCAACACTGATCTCATGTCTCATATTGAAATCCTGAACCGATGAGTTTACCTGAATGCTGGTGCTGGGGACTGAGGTCTACCTCTTCCAACGGGTAGGGGGCGCTGGCGGGACGTACAGGCCGAAACATGTAGCTGTCATTGGGCAGTGAGTGCATCCTGGATACAGACATCTTCCCTGACGACAGCCGGTCCTGATCATCAAACTGCACCTCTTCTTCCTGCGGGGGGCGACAGAGACCACACAGCTCTGACACCGACCGACCGTTGAAATAGAAATATCAAATAATGCACCATTGTTTTACAGTGAATTAACTGAACTGGCATAGGATGAAACATGTAGCACATAATATTGTAAGGTCTTGACCTGATTATATGAGGAGATGACTTAAGACTGAACTGAATTGAATACGCTGCACACTGCTTTGTTCTGCCAGAGTTCCAGTTCCAGTTGTAATTTTGCACTCCTAATCAGCAAGGTCACAGGCTCATTGGAGATGAATCGCTGCTCGCCTGGAAAGCCAACGAGATGAGGCAGCAGCAGCAGCAGGGGGCAGAGCCAAAAAAGCTGCAGTAAAGTCAAACAGTTTCCAGCACCCTTCACTCCAAACAGGAAATTACAGGAACGCTCACGTCCTCTTAGATCTGACTCCAATTTAATAAAATGTTATCAGATCCACACATCAGTTTGCATTCGGTCTCCGATAGTTGTAATCATGACGAAAGGGAGATTGTTAAATTGCTACGCAGCCGATCTCTGCTCATGGTGCAACCTTCATTTTACATGAAGTCTCATGTAAATTAGCGTCATATCAGTTTGGATATAAATCAGTTCAGCGGATCTGTTCCCGTTTATTAATGATCTGTCAGATATTTAGGCTGTCTGGGCTGAAACATCTGTACAAAGGCTATTCTAAGAGCCCTAACATCTCACTAATCAGTAGCTTTTGTGTTGTGAAACTGGAATGTTTGCAGTTTATGGTCTGTTATCTGAATGTGTTCAGCCTTTCTGACTAATAAATGCCACCATCAATCTCACAACTTTCATTAGGTTCACAGAATATGCCTTAAAATCAAGTCAATCAAAAACTTAAAAAGTCTGTCATATGGTTGAGTTAACATGTAAACCAGTCGGCTGCACGGTCAGTGGAGAGGAACTGGCTCCAAAACCTGCAGCCATGATCTTGTGAGATTTTTGTTTCCTACATTTAATTTGATGACATCAGACAAATCTGTCATAAGATCTGATTATGATTATAGAGGCTGAAAAAAGTCATAGTAATGATATTATTGAGATATCAATAGGAAATCTAAAAGGAGAAAATAAAAGTAATGCTTGAGTCTGGAGTGGGCAGAGTGTCTCGGTCTCGTTTATCATCTGCAGCAAGTTGGACAGAAGTTTAACCGGCATAGTGCAGCGATCGCCGGTGATCGATCCGTTGCAGGTCTGACTCATCTCAACAGAGCCTAATGCCTTCCTACCTCTCCAGGTGAATGTGGGCACGGACCAACGTAAGTCCCTGCCACTGAGCTGTTGTTTGAAGTTGTGCTTAGTCTGCGTTCTCGCTCCATGGCCATTTCCAACGCGATCTCCGCATCCATCTCTGCGTCCTCTTTGGCTTCCTGCAAAAACATATAGGTTTCTGCTTACTGACTACATTTTACAGGAAATGTCCATCAACAAAAGGGTTCATTTATGTCCAAAATGCAAAGAACTACAATAAAACAGCACCGAATGAGGAAAATACATCAAAGGCTTTTGGTCACGCATACATAATTCTACATGGTCTCTATAGGTCTTTGTAGTCACTGTACCTTGTTGCTTTCCTCTAGATGTTTCATCAAAACGGCCACCACCACGTTGACCAGAACGAACTGGGCCATGAGGACAAAGGTGACAAAGTAAATTGGAGAAACCAGCGGCAGGTACGTGAGACAGTGGCGGTCGTCTGGGTGGCACTCCCTTAATGTGTCCTGAGGAGATGCAGAGCAAGATTCAGAAACGAAGAAGAAGGAGGCGATAGAGAGGCAAACACAGACGCAGATAACAAAATGCAATCAGGAGTTAATAGTTAAGATTATACTTATATGCATGCACATGTACAGCTGACATTCCTGCAAAGTTTGACTTTTGCTTAACTGAAGTTATATCATTCAACCAACATAGAGCTAAACTGGCTGCACAAAGATGCCCGTGTGTAAATTTGCACTATATTTAAGCTTTTAGTTCACATTTTTAGGTGCAGTTAAAATGCAGAAAGTGTTCACTGGTGACTTGTGAGTGCCCTCTACTGGAATTTAAGAGGGCTGTGATTGGAATGTTTTCGACTCCACACATGCTCTGAAAAAAATCTAAATATTATAAATCAACCAAAAAAAACCCCATTATGCTACAAAAACATCTGCCATAAATCAGCAAGAGTATGTTCGTGATTCAAACTGATATTATAATTTAACCCAAATAGCCAAACATGGAAGCTATTATCAACCCGTTTTTATCAGATCACATGTACATTTAAAAAAAAAAAAGTCATTTAGGGAGAATTACATCATCCATCACATTTTATTTTATTTTTTTAATAAAGTCAAAATCAAGATGTAAGAGTGTTTGACATTGCTCGGCTCTAAGCTACTTTATCATTTCATAATTGGTTTTCGAGGTCACTGCTCTCACTGTGGTTATGAGATAATCTAGTCATCATTTATGAGAGTGTGTGTGTGAGCATGTGTGTGTTCATACTTTCATAATCCCATTCCAGTTGTCTCCAGTGGACACTCGGAACAGTGTGAGGAAGGCCATCCCAAAATTGTCAAAGGTTGCGTGACGACTCAGACCTTCACATGGGTTGTTGTCATTGCACTCTGACACACACAAACGTAAGCAGGCGTTAATTACACCGCACAAGTAAGAATGAAAACGCTGCCGGCGCCTCGTTTAGAAAGTCCTACGGCTTTAGTCATATGAAAGCAGAATAGGACGAGTGAAGTAAACAGCTGCTAAGTGGTGAGTCCCTGTGGACACGACACCGGAGAGGAGAGGAGAACCGTCTTCTGGAGGACATGGAAAGTGTCAATTTGACAGAAAGCCCTCAGGAGCCTGTTTGTAGAATAAAAAACATCCACCATGAGCTATCTTCCTTCGCTTCAAACCCCAGGTCACATTAACAAGGAGCTGGAGAGGAATGAGAAGGTCCTCGGAGGATTACATACCTTGTTTCTTATTCTAAGTATCAGCCACCGGGAGAGAGGATTTAACAATGCTATCGTGAAGCTCAGAGGAACTGAAGAGGGTGGCCTTATGTAATAGCAAATGGAATAAAACTTTACTCAAGGAGTTCTTTTTATGCAAGACTGACATACACAGTGTGTCACGGAGAAATTGGAGACGTATTACGTACAGTTGAAACCAGAAGTTTACATTCACTGTATAAAAGACACTTTTTTTTTCTCACTGTCTGACATTAAATCAGACTAAACTTTTCCTGTTTTAGGTCAGTTAGGATTACCAAAATTATTTCTATTTGCTAAACACCAGAATAATGACAGAGAGAATCTTCTATTACGTTCTTCAAGAGGAAGGTTACACACATTAAGATTGCTATGCCTCCAAACTATTTGGGAAAGCCCAGATGATGATGTCATGGATTTGGCAGCTTTTGTCTGGTTAATTGACAACATCTGAGTTAATTGGAAGCAAACCTGTGGATGTATTTTAAGGCACACCTAAAGAAATCAGCCAGGATATCAGGAAGAGAACTGTGGACCTCCACAGGTCTGGTTCATCCTTGGGTGCAATTTCCAGATGCCTGAAGGCTCCACATTCATCTGTTCACACAGTTATACACAAGTATAAACACCATGGGAATGTCCAGCCATCATAGTGCTCAGGAAGGAGACGGGTTCTGTGTCCCAGAGATGAAGTGTTTTGGTGCTAAATGTGCGTATCAACCCCAGAACAGAAGCTAAAGACCTTGTGAAGATGCTGCTGAAGCTGGTAAGAGAGTCATTATCCACAGTGAAACCAGTCCTGTACCGACATGGGCTGGAAGGATACTCAGAGAGGAAGAAGACATTACTCCAAAAGAAACATAAAAAGGATAGATTACAGTTTGTAAATGCACACAGGGACAAAGAGATTCATTTGTGGAGACATGTCCTGTGGTCTGATGAAACTAAAACTGAACTGTTTGGCCACAATGACCATCGGTACATCTGGAGGAAAAAGGGGGAAGCTTGAAGCCTGAGAACACCATCCCAACTGTGAAGCACGGGGGTGGCAGCATCATGTTGTGGGGCTGTTTAACTGCAGGAGGGACTGGTGCACTTCACAGAATAGATGGCATGATGAGGGAAGAACATTATGTGGAAATATTGAAGCAACGTCTCAAGACATCAGCCAGGAAGTTACATCTTGGGCACTAATGGGTCTTCAGATGGACAATGACTCTAAGCATACCACCAGATTAGTTACAAAGAGGCTTCAGGACAACAAATTCAATGTTTTGGAGTGGCCATCACAACGGCCCGATCTAAATCCTGTAGAAAATTTGTGGGCAGAGCTGAAAAGGCGTTTGGAGCAAGGTGGCTATAAACCTGACTCAGTTCCACCAGTTCTGTCAGGACGAACGGGCCAGAATTCATTAAACTATTGTGAGAAGCTTGTGGATGGAAACTCAAAATGTGAGCAAATAGAAATAATTTTGGTAATCCCAACTGACCTAAAACAGGAAAAGTTTAGTCACATTTAATGTCAGACAATGAGGAAAAAAAAGTTGTATGTTTTTTTTTTTTGCAGTGTATGTAAACTTCTGGTTTCAATATTGGTATAAAATTTGTATGTGAACGTGGGCTCGATGAAAAGAGGACAGAACAAACGTAAAAGTAAAAATGTACGTGTTGTAGCAAGAAAGACCTTCCTATCCTCAAGTCTGACTCGTAAAGCAGTGGCAAGAGAACAGAAGTGAAAATGGGGATTCATCCTGGCAAAAAAAGTCAATAGATGAGTAATTAGATTAAAATTTAAATTGGATTACTTTCAGTATCTACTGTGCTAAAAATACAAGCTATTAAAACAACATGAAGCCAAAAATGTCAGGATGAACATTTAAACACTCAGTCACTCCCTTATAACCGCATCTTATCTCCTCAGTCTCCTGCACATGTGATGGTCAGACTCCCAGGGTGCCGACAAATGCACATCAGAGGTCTGCCGCTTAAGACAGTCGTTTCATTTCCACTTTAGTGGAAGCATATTGTACAAAAAATACTGAAGCGTACACCCACACTAAGCCCAAAAAGCTAATTCAGACAGACTTTCCTGCTTTGTATGCAGCTGTTTTATATTCCCTGACAGCCGTCTGATGGATAAAAAGTGAAGTTTCTTTATTGAAAACCCTTCATGCAAAATATACAGCTTTAAAAAGCAGGCAAGAGAGGTTCTATGCATCTTGTTTAATGCAAAATTCAATAAGTGATCATTACTGTAAACTCAAAGAAACCCCATATTGGCTCCAAAAAAAATGAAGGAAAAAAAAAAAGAAGCCCCATAAGCACCAGTCATGATTGAGTTTGTGTGCGGGACAATATGACAGTTTATAGCACTGCTTCCTGATCTCCACCCCAACTTCTCCGCAAGCCAAAACACATTCCACTCCTCAGCTATTGCGAGACACAAAGCGGCATTTAAAGTGAAGGACAGAAACATCTAAAAGCTTCTGTCAGCTGCTTGGCAAAATAAAAATCAGAGCAAAAACTGGAAGAGAGGGGTTTATTTTGCTCCATAAAACTAAAAAAAAAACCACAGACATCACTTTGTTTCCCCGATGCCGAATCGTAATAACATTTTGCAGAAAGCAACCTCTTTATCAGCTTGTTGTTTTCATTTTGTCTTCCCAGATGCTTTTTTTTTTTTCTGGCTAATCTTCTTCCCTCGCACATTATTGCATGTTCTGAGAAAATGGAGCCGGCCTATCGAGGAAGCAATATGCGACTAAATGTGATCATGCAAATGTGATCTTTCCTCGGTAGGAGCAGCCGCTCTGATGACGGAGGGAAGGAGAGACAGATGGGGGGGATAGAGAGCGAGGATTCGACAGAGACAACTCGAGCAGTGGAAATTTTCCTACAAGTCGTGACTGTGGTAGTAACGAGTGGATCCAAAAAACCTTTTCCGCCGTAGACTAACATGTGTGTGTGTGTGTGTTTTCTGCAGGTTGTGTGACTGACCCAGTTTGCCAAAGAGCTCCACTCCCAGAGCAGCGTAGATGAAGAAGAGCAGCATGAAGAGGAGACCAAGATTTCCCACCTGGAAGCAACAACACGTGTTAGATCCCGCTTCTCTCTCTTCAGTGTAAATAAAGCTCCAGGGAATAGAAGGCATTAGGATTTATTTCGCTCTATTTATTCCATTTGACACATATTTAACCCAGCATTATAAATGGAATAGACCTTATTTACAAATACGTCTTGCCCGGAGGTGAGCTCTCTGCTGCTCAAAAATGAGCCTCAAACAAAGCACTTGCACTCGAAGCTTTAACTTCTCTATTTACACATTAGCACTGTAGAGAAAACAGGTTGTGCATCCAATAATCTGTATTTATGCACCATGTAACCTGAATTTAGTTTCATCTTCCCACAGCCATTAAAGCGCCCGCTTATACAACATAATAAAGCAGATTTTTGTCTCTATTTTTGCCAGTAAAAAAAAAACTAACAAAAAACATTAAGAGCTGTGATATCAAAAAAGTCTGAGCTGCATTAATGATGCCATTTTTCCCCCTCATTCACTTAGAAAGCTATAACAACAGTCATCATAAAGGATTTTGTGGGCAGACCCGGTGAATGCACTACGTCGTCAGACGGATGTCGTCTTTTGTCCTTACGCTCTGTTATCGTGAACCCCCGTGCCCCGATGGTTATATTTGTACACTTGACATTTAGAAAACAGCAGAACAATGGAGTCTGTCACTGCACGTACATCACAATCCTTGGCGCAGCTGCTCTTTGCCTCGAAGATTTGGGCTATGCAACAGGAGAAGGAGACTTGATATGCTTCAGCCACACACTTTAAAACGGAATGCATCCGAATGGATAATGAAAGACGAGGGGGGGAAGCTGGTTGTAAAGTCGGACTCTGTAAATGCTTTTTTAAAAGACGGCGCAGCTCACGGATCAAGGAACAATCTATGCAAAAAAAATTATTTACTTGACTCTGAAAATAGATGTCCTATTTGCCTGAATTTCATTGCAACCTCTGCTCACCCAATCTGCTTTTACTGTGTCAGAAAAGATCATTACGTATTTTTCTGGCTGGGTAAAAGTAATGTTCTATAGCATGCAGCATTTAATAGGAAAAAAAATTGAAGCAACAGACCAGTGAAAAATGTAAAAGAGTGCATGAACACATATAAGACGCTCGAGGGTCAGAATCTTGTAATGATACGCTTTGAATGAAATATTCATCCACCGGCATGCATCTTTCAGAGCTGTCTATTTTGAACAAAATTGCCATACTGACCCCATATTCATAAATAAAACAACAGAAATAAAACAAAACCACTCTTTGGCATGGGAGGCCTCGAGGACTCCGTGTTTACCTGCGGCAGCGCTTGCATGACGGTATCCAGCAGAGCTCTCATCCCTGTGGCCATCTTCAGAAGTTTGAGCACTGCAGAGAGACACACAGCAGCAGCAGTTTGGTTGTTGCTCCGCACATTTTACTGCAGAATTTACAACCGCACAGTACGACACAGGGACTAAAACTACAGTAGGGAGACTCATAGGTTTGTGTTTAACTCTAGAAACCTATCACATGTTACTTTTAATGCAAATTTACAAGAATATACAATGAAATTTCACACAATACACATAAAAAAACAAGTACGTTTGTGGCTTGTGTGCATGTGTGTGTTCACCTCGTGCTATTCTCAGTACTCTCATGATTCTGATGATGGTGGGATTTATTGGCAGCGCGGCATTCATTTTCAGCTCCTCCAGGGTGATGCCCATGATGGACAACGCCACGATCGCTACATCCAGCTGATTCCACCTAAACATACATTGTTCATCATTTTAAGCAACAAAAAAACTGATATATTACAAAGTGCTGCTCTAATGGATGGTTGATTAGCTCAGATTTTCACTTTCTAATGCCCCACTGATCAACCTTAATTCCTACCAAGAAGCTGAGACAAACAAAACTAAACAAACACACAATCCTTCCTTCAATGTCTGTAACTGTGCAGTCTTTAAATGCTACTGGGAGTTAGCCCAAGAGAAAAAAACAGGAGGAGATGGAATACTGCAGCTGCCTGGCTGTTGGTAGTAAATTGTGAAAAGGTTGTTTAGATTTATGGGTATGCCCCCCACTAATGTGTACGGTTGGGAAAACACTGAGTTTAACCCTGATAAGACTCCTCCAGGCCACCCCGAGACAGATGAACACACTCGCTATCCAATCTTTGGAGCGCAGTGTAATGAAAGCAGGGAGCCACAGTCACAGTACATAAAGTCAGAGGTCACTACATGGAGCTGGAGTTAGCGACGACGAAATAGAGCTGATGCATAACTTTCACGTTTTACAGCATGATGTCAATCCCGCCGCGTTACCTGTCTTTGAAGAACCTGTGTATGCCGAAAGCCACGAGTTTGAGCAGGGCCTCGATGACGAAGATGAAGGTGAACACGTAGTTACAGTACTTCAGAACCTCCTCTAAATACTGGAAACACACAAGCACAAACATGCAAATGGTCACGCAACATCTCCAACACACTACATGCAAATAACACATGGAGCATCTTGGGAAAGCAGTGAATACTTTTTTTCAAATTCTGTCACCTAATATATGGACTCCCGATTGCTGCTCTTCTGCACACATAATAAGTTACACAGGATACTTCAATGAAGCAACAGACACCAAAACTTAGATTTGGATCCTTATCCACGGTTCGGCAGGCATGTGAAAGGCAATCCTCCGCCTTGGCCAGAGCTCTATCTCTCAGTTTTTGAAGAAACTGATCCAGATCTACATCAAAATTTAATTGGCCACGCTCCACCTCTCCACCAAGTTTCATAAAGTTTACCCTGCACATTCCTGCTCACAGTCAAACCAACAGACAAACAGAAAAACACATCCCTGCTGCAGCGATACTTTAAACACACCACGAATTTATATAAAGAAAATTAAATGTGGGCTTTTAAGGGAGACTCTAACAGATTATTATCATTAGAATCCAGATGGACATGGAGAGAAATAGACATTTTATGCAAGGCCAAATTAAAGTGAGTGGATATTTTGGAGAAAACTTGCATTACCTGTGGCTGATTGTAGTGCTCGATGCTCATTGTGAAGACGTTAATGCAGATGATGAAGGTGATGAAGAGGTCCAGGTAGTGGCTGGTGCACAGTGTGTGGATGTAGAGGCGCAGGGGACAGTAGTCGGCGTAGTAGGGCCTCTGTTTGGCCTCTGGAGACCATGAACGAGCAAAAAAAAACAAAAAAAAAACAAGAAGAGACAGAGTGCAACTGTTAGTAGCTGGGCTCTGAATATGAAATACCACATGCTAGTAGTATGCACAGGGAGGTACAGGGGCAAAGGGAAGGAACCACCACTTTCTTTTTGCTCAAGCTGTTAAAAGTTCTCCTCTTATACTCCTTTTCAACCAAGATTAATAGTATTCCACACACAGCCCTGGTGCCCCGCTGCTTATCTAATTGTAACCTCGCTCACGGTGGTGGTGCCCCCTTTGCATTATTGTCCCTGCTCCTCTGAGAGTCTGTGCATGCTACCGCTGGTGTGGGATGTTTAAAGAAGAGAGGACATGAGAGTAACAGTTGGGCTAATTTGATAGGTTATGGTGTGCATTCAAGATTTAGCTCAAATGACTACTTCCTGGATACAAATTGCAGATTTTTTTAAATTCATGGCACAACATGTGAGACAATGTGTGCAACCTAAACTGCACTGTTTCATTCAAAGTTTGCCACAGCACAAGATAGCAGGAGGAACTGCAGTAAGACTCTATAGCAGTTCTTGCAAGGGATCTGAGCGAGTATAAATTACCATCTTTTTTTCATGAATAAACCTTTCGCTTTACTGGATTAAAAGAATAATTTTAGTCTTTTCCTGCTGTGAAAAATGGCTATCAGTCCTCCCTCAGAGTATTCCAACGTGGGGAGCATTTCATATAAAAATTCATCACCTCTAATAATGTTATTCTTGTCAGGGTTGAGAGGTCTCTGCTTTGCATTCAGACCACAATGGGAGAGTCGGTGTTTTCGCTGAAACCCTGACTACAGACTAGGTTTTGATAGACATGAGGGAACTGTGAGATGCACTACTGCTTCTGAATAATAAATTGATTTTAAGTCACCTCGGTGTTTATTAAGAAAGTGTTTGTAACCCAAAGTCCCAACTGCCCCACTAGGTTTTGACAGACTGTGTACTCACATGTCCATATTGATGATTTCTGAGTGTGTACGTGCATGTTTATGTCAGCTTCCCATGTGCACCATGCCCTGTCTGTCTGCTGCATGCTTTCATGCCTCTGATATAAGTTCTCTGACTTAGAGGGGATGCACAGGGTTCGTTCAACACCACAATATTCCACAAACAGGATCGTAAAGGCTTTAAAAGTTCCTAACAAAATGCTCTCTTATTCAACATCTGAGTTTGTAATTTAAAAAGAATCTATCCTTAACGCCTCACTTTTTCATTTCCTTCAATAATTCTAGTTTGAGATCTTGTCTGTGATGTTGAACAAACACTGGAGCAACTCTCCTCTTTAATTGCATCAGTAAAAATAAAACAAATCTCAAAAGTCTAAAACTTTTGGATTGATAAGTGAGTTTGGACTGATTATGTGGCCAAACCCTGGAGCAGTTTTAGACCAGTGAGACATAATGTTAATACGAGATGAAAAAGAGCTGTGTTCTGCTCACACCATATACTGCCTTAGAATGTAATTCTGTGATTGGGTAGATGGGTATCAAACCGCGTGCTTCCACTTTGTTCAGCTATACAAATTACCACAATTAAGTTTGCATCGTTACTGTTTTGCATTTTGACCCACTTTTTTTGCAATAGGTGGTGTGTTTCTGATGTTTGTACTGTAGATAGCAATCATCTGTATCTAGCTCACTTAACATCTACTAACAGCTGTGATACTTGCGGGTATAGCAGCCTCAGTGCCTGCTATGTTTCTGAGTCTGCCAGTCAAAGCACGTTTACAGGAAAAGTCCTTCTTCCAACTGAGTTGAGAGTCGCCTCGGGGTCGGTGCTGTTCATGCATCCAGAGGGAGGGTCGGGGGCATTTCATCAATGAAAATTTTGCTAGCAAATTTTCCCGAGACATTTCGAGGACAGCAGCCGTAGTTTACTTCCACATGCAGAAAGTACTACAAAGGTGGTCGTTGAAAGTAGTCAGAATCTATCAAATATTTCAAATTGTTATGGGTAGTCTGGAGTAGGAACAGTATTAAACCAAGATGTCGTATTCAAGACATCATTTAAGCATTTTGAATATTGCAGCTATTGTCATTTGTACACTACAGTGGTGGCAGTTCAATTACTTAAAGGGTGAGCATAGAAAGTTTTAGTCAGGTTAATACAGTTAATTCAGTTTTCCATGCAGTGTTAGGGGAGGGTTGGGGTCGGGCTGCAGTCATGCTCTCACATGCATTAGAATGGCGTAGCCCACGCCGTCTGTCAGTGATCAATCACTGTTTGCGTGAGCTAGCCAGTCTTTTAAACTCTCCCTCGTTTTACGTTCAAGTCCGTTTACATTTCCCTGTTTTGTCTCTTTGTCATTCTCTTTCTCTTTTTTTTTTTTTTCAAGCTCTGAAAGCAGGCAGTGCTCAGAAAAATAGACTACCGACCAGCCCCTCCATTCTCCTTACTCCTGCGCTTTTTCTCTATCATTTTGAGCCTCTTCTCTTCCCGCAAGCGGGCTTCCTCCTCTTCCTGGTCCTGTCGGCACTTGTGGAAGTTCTCCACCACCACGCCGACGAACATGTTGAGGACGAAGAAGCTGACGATGAGCAGGAAGGAGATGAAGTAGAGGAGCATCCAGGGGTTGTGGTTTCTTACAGGCTGAGGAGAGAAGTTTTCATTGTTTATCCAAGCATTGCTTCGTAAAGACACAAAACAAGCAGAGAAAACAACTTGTGCATTGGACCTAGTTCGAGCGGGCAAGACACAAAACCAAACTGCTACACTATGAAAACTAGAACAATGTGAATTCTCTGGAAACCCTTGGGTAACCTTGGTAAACTTTCCAAACTTTGCAAGGATAATTCCATGGTCACTGTAGCAGAGTCATGAATTTTCCTGATAATATCACAAATAAAAGTTTTAATCCCTGGGTTTCCAGTCACTCGATTAATTACGTTGCAAAAATGACAATCTACTATAAGGCACACGACTGCAGCGCACTGCACCACAGGCAGTCCTGGATCTGACGACAACAACATTAATTGACGCTTTGGAGATTCTGCTATAAACTCTCACTTTAGGCCATAGTTTCACTTCGAATCCAGCATCACTGAAGCACTCTCATTAATGTTTACTCTTATTTTAATACCTTATATACATTCAACTACTACCCTAACCTCTGTTTGTGCTATTTCTAAGGTTGGTATAAATAAACACATCAGCGTAACTGAGCTTTTATTGCTGATTATACCGATTTAGATCTCCCATTTAATTTTATTATTTTAAGTATTTCACACACAAAAAGCACTTAGCTGAAAGCAGGCATATAGTATTTTGCAGCACTAACTACAGCTTTTTCAAAATACTGTCGTATATTATTTTGCATAAGGTTGTAATGTTTTGCATAACATCCCAGTAGAGAGGAGGGTGAGCACAATGGGTTATAATACACAAAGGGCTGAGAGTGGATCAGGCTTTATCTAGCTGATAGAGTCATTTGCAACTATTTGGCACTGATTGTAAGTCTGCAGAACGGCTTTGTGTATTCCTCGCATCATTACCTGTTGGTCCACTCCCACCGCATCGAGCCCGTCGTACATGATGTTGACCCAGCCGTCCTTACATGACAGCACAAACAAAGACATCAGAGCCTGGGAAGGAAACAGAGATGTACATTAACTCAGCATACGCGGGTCCAAATATCATTACATCCATAGTTTCGACATTAGCATTGCATCTCCATTCGCGTAATGTACCTCGCAACGCTCTCTCTCCTTATGAGAACAAGAAGCTGTCAGTGGAAAATCCATATTTAGCCATGATAGCTGATTTAAAACTGATTTATATATCATATTAACATTTATAAGATGACCGGCCATGGTTTTTCTGAGCATACAGTAGAGAACATTCAATAAAAAAGGCAAACAGGTATACCATCTTTAACGAGTATATTGTCCTTGAGAATAAAAATCAAGAAATTGATCCCATTATAACTGGATTACTTGATCTCGTTTGTTAATGTAGGTATCTATGCATAGGACAACTCCAATTTGTCAAATGTAAATAAAAATCTATTATAGGCACAGCAATGTGATATTTCTGCCTAAAAACTTGTGTTAAAAATGAGGCACAAGTAATGAAAAATCCCTAAAAACAGCTCACATTGACATACTGATGTCAATGTCTCCATATCTCACTAACTACCAAACACCAGCAGTCGGTTAATCGATACCTGAATCAGGTTGTCAAAGTTGTACTTTCTTCGTATCCAGCGGTAGTTGGCCTGCAGACAGTCAGACTTGTTGGTGATGTTTTTTGTGTCGAGACCTTCACAATGGTAGAACTTCCCTTTGAAGAGCTGGAGAGTGAGAAACAGAGAAAGAGAGAGAGAGAGAGAGAGAGAGAAAAAGAAAGAGGTCTGCAGGGCTATTTGGCTGCCATTTACAAATTATCTCAATTGCATTGGAGCTTGAGGCTTTTTAAACATTCAGCAATTAATGCCAGGAATAAAAGGACGTTTCATAGAACACGTTCTTATCAGAGGTTTTCCCTGAGTGCTTGGCTAATAGCTGGCCTGGGGGTCATGTTGTTCCTTTTCACACTTAACCTAATTGTCATTCTTTCAAAACTCACGCTCTTGCGGAACAAAAGCCTATTGTCCATTGGGTATTCAAGACACGTCCAACTCCCGTAAGCCACAATCACATATGCAGTCGACATTTAAACTACAGAGGGTGTAAAACTTTGTTCTCAAGCGAAGGAATTAAAAAAAAAAAAAAAAAAAGCTGTATCATTAGTGTTGTTTGTGCAGTGGATCTCTAACTAGCTTACATGTCTGCAGTGAGAAACAGTTATTACCTGGACCCCCAAGATGCCAAAGACAATGAAGAAGGCACAGCAGATCAAGACAATGTTTCCGATAGGTCTAAGAGAGGTGATGAGAGTCTCCACAACCAGCTTCAAACCTGGAGCTCGACTGATCACCCTGGAACGCATAGACAGAAACACCAAAAATAGGCATCTTTATTCTGAGTACCAATAACTGCAGTGACTGAAACTGAAAACCAACATGCACAAGAAATACCCTACATACCTGAGTGGGCGAAGTGTCCGTAGTAGGCGGAGGACTCGGAGAATTCCCAGGATCCTGTTTCCGCCAGTATAAGCCAGAGAGACCAAAATGTCGACCAGAGACACCAACACCAATAAACCGTCCAGAATGTTCCAGCTGGACTGGAGGTAGCTCTGGTTCCCAAAGCAGAAGCCAAGAGCTACAACCTGGTGAAAACATTGTGGAGTTATGGAGTTTTTAAAGCAAATTAGGGCTATAACTATAAGGATAAAAATGGTCAAATAAAAGAAAACGAATGAATGGAAAACGGTGCTCTTTACCTTAACGGTCATCTCTGCTAGGAAGATCACAGTGAAAACATAGTTGGACACACTCAGAAACACTCGCTCCTAAAGGGGAGAGTGACATTCATTGTTTACCCACATCGTTAACCTTTTGGCATAAATATAAGACGATGCCAGTGACTATACGTATTATTTTGAAGGTGCTCTCTTTGAATGGAACGAGAGGAATCTGTTGTGTTGTACAGGAAGTTTATTGCATTGTTGGTAGTTTGAAGTCTCTAGTATGATGGGCTATTGGAGTTACATCCATTGGTCTACATGGTGTCTTCTTCAACAAATCAACCTCAAATATCTCTGGGCTTTGACCGGCGCATATGATATATTTTAATGATATTTAACTAGTGAACGTTTTCTCGAAATGTTACTGTAAAATGGATGGGACAAAATCATCAAAAACACACCGTGTAAGAAGATGGTGATCCAAAACAGACTGAAAGCTTTGTACATGACTAAATGTCTTGTTTTGGGTTTTGTCGCTGGTAATTTTTTGTTCTGTTTTACTTCACCTTCCTCGTGTGGTGGTTCTTTTCTCCTCCCCGACTGATTTCATCTGTGTCTTGCCTCCCTTGTGTCTGTACGCTTTCCCCTCTCTCTTTGTTGGTTCGTCTGTTATCCTACCTGAGCTTGCTCTGCACTGATTCCCCGCCTGTATTCACCGTGTCTCTCTTTAGTTTTTTGGACTATTTGCTTGGTCATTCTTTGGACTTCTTTAGTTTCTTTACTTTCTTTACCTGGGCTCTCCAGATGCCATTTGTTTGTTCCCTTGCCTCTAGAGCCTCCTTTATCTTTAGGAGTGAGTTTTATTTAAGTTCACCTTTGTTCATTATTCCTGCCTGGTGTCCTGAGTTGGGTCCTTTTCTGAGCTGACACTCCATCACACTATGTGGAAGAAAACCCTCCAAGAAACTACAGTTTTTCATGATTACTGCATCAACTTTACCTATGAATAACGGGCAATTCTCAGTTGTATTTTTAGATTATTTCTCTTTTATTGTTCACCGATTATTGAAGAGAAGGTAACAGGACATCTAGTGCTAGAACTCAGAAAAAGTGCACAGCCAATAAAAAGTGCCAGAAAGCTCACATGGGCCTTTCCTTCTATACTGAGACGCACTTGAAAGACCAACTGAGGTCACCCTTTAGCCCGCATATGACTGATTTGTTTAGGAACCCCTGGCATCCAAGCACCTAATAAGATCTGGACACACAAGCAGATTCTGCCTCAGGCAATTCAAACTCTCCCAAAGTAGGAAAAAGCAGACTGTCGAGCACAATAGGAAGCCTACCAAGGGATTTGTGCATTAGTTCCACCGGGGCCCGAAGACTTTTGCAAACATGTCCAACAATGGGACAAGATTTGCATGAAAGGGAAAGATTTAGATTGCTGTATCAAATCACCAAAGAACAGAGTTTCTTAAAGGTGAGCTTCTCAAACATCGCCATGACAAGGACCATGCACGTGATTTGAGAAAGATGCTTATGTGGCTGCATATTGAGAAATCCTGCCACGACTTTCGTCACTGCCTGGTACAGCCAATCAACTGTCACAACCCCTAGAGAACGTCCTCGCCATGTTTATTTCAAGTTTCCCCAAATGTGTCTGACCTCGGGCCAGAAAGAAATGGTTTAACATGTAGTCCCTTAAAGGAAAGAATCTAGAACAGTTGTGTAAAGTATGTGACACTGGAAAGAGCCACTGCACACCATACCACCCTGATGGAAACAGTTAGTGTAAGAGTTTCAATTACATTACAGGTGACCTACTCTGTGACCTCCCAACAGAACAGAAAAGGCAACATCACCTTTATACAACACAACAGAACATGTTTCCACCAGCTACTCTCCATATGAGTCAAAAAAAACAACCTGCATGTGGATTTTTCCCAACTCGGCTCCACTATCAGCGCATGATTGAGTAGTTAAACGTCAGAGAAGACTGAATGCTGCAAATGACTAAAACTGGTAGTGGACAGAAACCCTAATCTTCAGAAGGAAGTATCCACTTGTATGCAATAAAATCCAGGATGTCTGGGGTTGTGTGACTGTTTGGATGTCAAAGAAAGGGTTTACAAAATCTGACAAAGGAAAAGAGCTGAGCCAGAGGAAAACGATTATATCACAATATGATATTAATAAGACAGAGCTTAAAGTTCTCCTGCCACTGTTGACATTCCTGACTCTCTTTTACCTGAGCTGCACAGTTTCCCAAAATTATAAGAAAAATATAAGCCAAAAGATGAAAGTTCAACCTCTGAACTCCCAACTGCTAACCACACTTCATAGCTTGCTAACTGAAGGCCAAGTTGAAAATAACATCAAAAACAACAATGCTCAGCCAACTGATTTCTGCTGTGTTCAAACCACTGGTGTAAAACTCACAGAAAGCAATTGTTCCTTGTCACAGGAATGGCAACTTTTGGGGCAAATTATATAAAGAGTCAAATGAAGCTCATCTTCTAAACAGAGTATGTTCAAGCAGAAAAGCGATGGTTGATCCCCTTTTAATGCAACGTTAGTCCCTGACTGGGGAGGGGACTGTGCTCCTCTCCATTAAGGTATATTGTATATTTTTACATTATATATGTTTTGTAAAAAGTTTCTTGTAAAGTTTCCTTTAGTTTTTTTTAAATTCCTTTTTTTAATTAAACAAAGGCACTACTTCAGGGGCCGACCATGGTGTTTCCCTGAACTATTAGAGTTTAGTGACTCATCAAATGGACTATTGTGTGGTGTGAGTCACTTTAGCTTGCTTGAGTTGCGTGACAGTTTTGATTTGATTTAAAATGGCTCAAGCGGTTTGTTCATAGTTCTTTTATTCTCTAAATAATGTGACAATAGCCTCTTTCTTTTTACTTATAAGTACACACTAACCTCTCTGCTAGTGCACACTGTTTATTTTCTTTGCTTTCTCATTTATTATCGATTTGATTCATGCAATAACTGCACATTTTTCTCCTTTATTATTACCCGCATTTAGACCTCCTAAAGTAAAGTAAAATCAATATTTTTTTGGAATAGAAGTCCCTGGCTTAGGTTTTTTCTAGTATTTTTAGCATCACTCGGTCACAGGAGCATGAATTGTCCCTCAGAGGCTGTAATCTGCCTTGATTAATAAGTTAGAGTAACACTTACGAAAGGCAGAAACCGAGAGACGCAGCTAGAATGCCTGATAGCGGCAGGCCGGGTGAGCCTTACCGTGCTATGAGGCTGTATGTCGGGTCTTTCCAGAGCGATGGTGATGCAGTTGAGGAAGATGAAAACCAGGACCACATGGTCGAACAATTTGTGGGAGATCACAGCTTGGCACCACACACGGAATCTAAACGCACACACAGAGTCATCTATAAAATATCTACGGCCCATTAAGGCTATTGACCAAACAATTAGCAGCAAGAAAGTGGCTAAAAACAGAAGAAAAATCAGAGAAGGAAAACACTATAATTGGATTAAAGAGGCGAAAAGCAGAGAGGGAAAAGGGAGTGGTGCTGGAAATGTGTTTTTGTCTATGTGTGCCATAAGTGTGTTAATACAATCACATTTTAGAGACAAACTTATGAAGACAAAAAGCAAAAATTCATAACATAAATCCTAACTTTTTTTAGGGTAGGGTTAAGTTCAAGTTGTTATAATGTTTAGGATTAGTGCAATTCTTCAGGATATGAATTCAAGACAGCGTAATGTGTGAGTGCATGTGTCTTACGGGCTCTCTGGAGAGAACAAGTACAGCGTCCAGTCTTCATGTTCTTTGCACCAGCGAGGCTTCATGTTGTGGAACTCTTTCTTGACCCAGTAGCAAAAAGGACCCTGAAGAGGTGAAAGGTCCCACGTCAGCACCAGAAACAACAACAAAAAAACCCCCACCTTTCTTTATTATTAGTTATTAAATGTTCTTCCATCATCGTGTCAAATCGTAAAATCTTCACCACCACCACCCTCATCACACACTCTGAAAAGTTCATCTTCAAAAAGGAAGCATACAGTCACAAGTCACATTACATAAACAAGCAGCATACAGTGTCCTCACATTCTAACCAAGAACATTTCCACTTTTGCTTGAAAAATTACAATTAATTGGTCATTAACATACTTGATGATTAGTTTCTTTGTTTACAAAACCAGTTATTTAGCTCTACACTGCAGCTCTATAACTGATAATACGGAGTACGCCACTTTGTTTGCAATGCTTTTGGATCAAAGTCCAATGCAGTAATTCTCACTCAGTAAGCATGAAAGTAATTGTTCTCCCAAATTGGTTCAGTTTTTAAACAGTTGCACATTTCTGTCTCCTGTCCAATATATTCATACATACATTCAAAATCGTGCTCTTTTAATTGACACTGTCTGTTATGAATGTTGTGGATCAGTAGTAAAACAGCTAAAGAGGAAATGCACCTCCTCTCTAAAAACAGATGACTGCCCCTACTGAACTAAAAGCTGTGTGTACAACAAACAAAAACAGTACTTCGTTGTCATGAATCAACAGTGGTGATGTATTTTGTATGTATTCCTCACAAATCTGTTGAAGAACTGCTTGGATATTAAAACCAATGCTCTGAATGCCAAAAAAAAATGCTGGGGGGGGTTTGAAAAGCATGTTATCTTTTTAAAAAGAGCCAAAATGACACTGATTAAAATCTCTTTTTTCTACATGTCTGTTTTTTTTGGTTTTTTTTTAATCGCCAAAAATTAACAGTTTACTCGAAGTGGTTTCTGTGAAAAAGAAAAAAAAAATCTGTGCTCCTCCTCCTAAGCTGTGACTAAAATTCAGAGACTTCCCAGCTGAACTGCAGGCTGTTTAAACAGAGCAGGTAGGAGTCAAACATGGAAACAAATACAAAAGTACAGTGTGAAATATCTCTAGAATTTAGAGTTTGTGACACTTGTTGGCACCTTGAAAAATATTGTATTGATTGCAGATTTTTCCGGCCATGGTTGTGTTGCTTCCATAGAAGTCCAGGATTTTATATTGCAGAGAAAAATGAGCAAACAGTGAGTAAATAATATGAAAGGGGCAAATAACACCAATGTTCAGCGGTTTAAACCCTCAGATGGAGAATCAGTGTGTTTGCCGACTGATTCTTTAAACATGTTTAACTGAAGAATTTTTCTGATATTAACTGTGCACTGCATAATGTCACTGGAAAAGAACACAAACTGTGTTTGAAAGTAAGAAAAGCTACTTTATAAGGAACCTTCTGTTCATGTCCCATCAACACTTGTACCATAAAACCCATTTTAAAAAAAGACAACAAACAAACAAACAAAAACTGATGTACAGTTTAAACTGCTTCCAGTGTTGCTGATGTTCCGAATTTAAATCTTTGGGGGAAAAGTAAACATGTGTTTCATTGCATAAGTGGATGCAGATAATTGGACCATAACAGACGGGCCTCTAACTTAGCAAGTCCACGAGCTCAATAGAAAGTATTGTGAAACTCATTAAAGTTTGTAATAAAACAAACACTAGAAAGCTTAGGTGCACAGCTTCTGTACTACAGGATTCTAATTAAAAACAGCCCCAAAGTCAAGCCTCTCAGATGCTGCTTATTTGGCAAATTGCCACTTAAGTGAGAACGTGTGCATCTGGATGTGCCCTTCTATGTGTGTGGATGAAAGGAACCTGCTGCTCAGATATCCTTGGAGCTGAAGTCCATAATCCCTGATGGAAACACATGCGGAGAACGACATGTATGTACACGTCTTGCTTGGCACGTGGATGTACACCCTCGCAAACACACATGCAAACACACACACCCGTGCATCCATACGCTGCCTGCATTAAGCCCGCCGTCGTCCCCTGCATCCAGGGACACGCCTTTTGTTTCAGAGGATTTCATGGCTTTAGAAACTCAATTTGGAGTCAGTAAAAGCATGAAGACTGTCACAGCAAAAGGTCATCCAAAAGCACCAGGGGAGTTCACCCCGCTCTGGCTTATTCACACACACACACACACAAATATTGAAGTACACTGGCTGTACGCGCGCAAGTTGTTTTATACCTACTGAGAAAACAATTACTGCTCAAGCCAATCAATTAAACCATGACAATTAGTGTCCCTCCAGGCGTTTGGAGTGCGAACGCAAAACACACACACACACTAGAGTTTGTTAAAGTAAGAAACAAAGGGCAAAGACAGACAAAGGATAAGACGAGAAAAACAGAAATAAAACGTGTAAACAGAGTCAGAGAGGACAGATTAAGAATTTACATAAGAATGCGACTCCACTGAGACTCGACTGTCACCAGGCCGAAAGAAATCCGTCAGACTTCTTGCTCAGCCATGTGTGCATAATTGTAAAACAAGCCACAGAGCAAATTAAACACACAGTATCCTGCTGGGGACCTTTAAGATCTGCTCAGAATCCCACATTAAGACTTCCCAAATGGCCTTTTCTTGAAAGTTATGACTCATGTTAACTTACGTCATCGTCCATGTCGTCTTCGGGCGAGGAGTCATCTTTGGAGTCGGAGTTCAAGTTTGGGTCGTAAGTCACAGTCCTCCCGTTACAGTCGCCGTATTCCGCAATTATGGAAGGGCAGAGAGTGGACGCCTGCAGCAGCTCCAAGGACCCCGGCCTCAGTCTGCTGTTCACCCCGGCCTCGTCCTTGTCGTCCCTGCCGTCCTCCTCCTCGCCGCCTTCCCCGGACAGCAGACTCTCCCTCTCTCCGCTGGTGTCTCGCCGCTTGAGGCTCGGAGCTCTCCCCAGGCTGTTCCAGCTGGAGCGCCGGCTCCCCCACGAGCTTCCCGAGCCACGGGGAGGGAGAGGAGAGCGCCGCCCGGGGCTGGAGAGGCCCTGAAAAGAACATGAAACAGAAACAAGTATAATGTCGGGGAGTTACAACAAAAGATCTACCTGAAAAAAAAAAGGTCATTATGTTTTGATATGTCGAGTGTCGCTTCAGTCTGAGTTTAACAAAATTGCAAATGTTCAAAGACAAAGGGCTCTTTATTTAAAACATTTCCCACATGGGTGCCACATCATCCAGAGAGAAATCATTGTAGACAAGGCAGGGGCAAGAATTTCTGGGACTGAATAATGTGCTCTCCACAATGTCTCAAACTATTAATCTGCTACTTCACTTTTTTTTTTTTTTCCCCAATTTGATCAACTTTACTTAATGTCTCACATTTTCCCTTTCCCTCCTCTGATAACACCAGGTGATTATCGGCGCTCTATTTTTCCACATCATGGAATAAATCATTATCTACATGTGCCACAGTGACGGATAGTTGACTGAAACTGCAAGAAAAAGAAAAAGAAAAAAATAAAGCACTTTGGTGAACCTGCTACTTGAGGAGACATCATTGGCGGCTTATTTCCCAGTCTGCTACCGTACCAGGATTGAATAATAATGTCAAATCAAATCAAGAAATCGATCAGTATCCATAAAGAAAGACTAAGTGGGGAATTGTTCTCTCTCGCTCAGTGTAGAATTTCAGGAACTGATCTCCTTTATGGTGTAGGATCTCACTAAATTGGATCTGATTGATTTCTATGAACTGTGGGCTGAAACATTGGAAACTCAAACTCACCGGCTTTTCAGGCACGTTGTGATCCTAAATTTGCAACCATTGGGTGTGTTCCTATGAAGTTTGTGTACTTGTGCATGCTTTGTAGGTTGGCTTCTACTAAGTATGCTTTGTTTGTATCTGCGTCCGTCTTGTAGCTTTAAATCAGTTCGGTGGGAGCTTTGCAGGGTGTAAAAATGTGCTCCATTGTTGTTCTGAATCAGCCACAAAGGAAAGGGATGTTTTGTCTGAAACGTCTCATTTGGGAAGAAAAGAAACATGCAACTTTATTATTCACTTTTCCTCCAAGATTTGATCGCTTATGGCATCTAAACGTGTTCCTCTTTAGTACTGATTAAAAGCAGCATATTTTTACGTTTTTTTTTTTCCCCCTTCCTGCTGTAAAATCACTTCACCACCTCTCTAACCATCTACCCCTCATGGCAGCTCAAGCACACCAGCTCACCTCTGACTCTATTCAAATACTGTAAAGCTACTCTATGCTGCACAACAGCACAAAGTCATAATATTGAAGTAATTTAAACGTACGTGGAAACCAATTCTGAAAAGAATAATGACACAAAAACTAGTACTTTGCAAATAGATGGGACTGAGGCTTTATATTTGAATCTTCAGAAGTGTAAATCTGTGTTTTTCATACTGTCAGGACGGTGCAGTTTCAAGAAAGAAAGGCTCACCTATGGTGTCAGCTGCTTATTTTCCTCCATGATGTGTCTTCCAGCATATAAAAACCTTGACTTTTACTGGAGGGGTTCTTTAATAACTAATTGTTGGGTTGTGAATGATTAACGCCAATTGCGATTTTGATCAAACTCACCAGAGAACGCTGATCGAAGGCTAAAGGCTCCATGGACGTTGAGCTTCCACGGCGAGACTCTGCATGGCCGGTACCCGCCTCAGAAAAACCCAAGCCCACCTCGCTGTACTGAGGTACCCCCTCTCTGAAGATGAGCTCCTCCCCCAGGATGGACTCGGGGCCCAGGGAGCTCTTTGGCGTGGGCATCGGCGTGGCCGCCGTGCGCATGATTATGGGCGGAGCCGCGGAGACACGAGGGTCAATGTGACCGTTAGCTGTCATCATCAGAGAGTACATCTTTAGCTCTGCGGGAGGAGAGTTCAAGACATTATCAAATTATTCCAACAGTTTGTAATCAACTGATCGTATCGAACGCCACCTTACCATTGTCTCTGAGCTGTTCTACCTTCTCGTCCTCGTCGAAGTTGTCGGATTTCTTGTCATCGTCTGACTCTGACCGATTAGCATCACCCTACAAGATACATCAAATAAGCTTGTTTTTCTGCATTTTGATCCCATTTTCTTCTTGCATTCAGAGCTCCAGAACTGATGATCTGAAATCCTCAGCAGCCATCACTCAGGAAAGAGATAAATCTCTCTTCCTCCGATCACCTTTAAAAGCAGCTCAGTCTTACTGACCACTTAGTAATTGATAGTCTGGACCTGTGGCCCTCAGCCGGCTGCATTCAGAGTTAATTATCAGCATGAGAAGACACTTCATACCGGATGCATACAGATGTGGATGAGAGATGTGTTTAAGGGTTAGATGTTAGCCTTTAGCCTGCTGCGCTGGTATTAGTGTCATAATCAGAACCAACCCACTTTTCAGAGTAATTACATTACAATTACATTACAAGAACGCATAACCCAAGTTAAAGAAATGTGTAAGGAATGAAAGAGTTTTGTTATTCAATTCAAATGACAACACAAAACCATGTAGTGTTGAAAATTAAAGGAGTATTACATCTTTTTCAGCTTGCATATTGGAAGACATTGAACCTTATCGGAGGCAAAAACTAACACAGTCCTTCTCACCTCAGCCTGGAAGCCCTCAACCAAGATGGCCACCAGCAAATTGAAGAGCACGTAGTTGCCGAACGTCATGAGAGCGACAAAGTAGAGAGCCGCCCACGGAGAGGTAGAAGCCATGCCGTTGTACAACACCACGTTCCAGTCCTCCTGGGTGAGAATCTACGGGTGGAATAAAACACAGACAGAGATTCAGACATGAATAAAGATGGAGTCGAGGGGAAGAGACGGATGGAAGAAGAAATAGATGAGGACAGAGTGAATGAAAGGGTTGGAGATGCATAATTAAAAAGGGAGACAAAGAGTAAATGCATGGAGGAAAAGAAGTAAAAGGGAGCCTATGCTTCAAAAAAAAAAACATGTGCTCACCTACTTTTATTGCCACAATACTTCAAATCCATACACCTACTTTTCTACAAGTTGGCATGCAAAGTGTACATGGACATGTGTGTATCTGCACTTAAATTAACATGAGTGATGAAAGCATCCAAACCCAGCCTGGTGTTCATGATCCACCACAAAACCTCTGCCCACTCTTTAAACCCCAGTGGGCCCGATGCAATTCACCGTGCTTTTGGTGTAAATGTGTGTGTGTGTGCATAGATTTATGTGTGTACTGCAGCTCCTCCCCAGAAACCTACAGTAAGTACATATAGTGAGTATAACTCTTTCGCATGACAGTCAGTTCTGGGTAAAATGCTTCTTCAGCACCAAAGCGAGACAGTCCACCGCATTCTGTGTTCCACTCTTCTGCTGACGCATTCGATATAGAAAAGAGGACAATCTATGTGGAGCGATTGAACAATATCTCAACAGGGAGGGACAGCAAAAAATAGAAATAATGGCAAAAGAGAGAGAGAGAGAGAGAAAGATTGTGGGTGGAAATAAGCAGAATTTCACATTTCACAGCATTTGACTAAGAGCAGAAGCTTGGCACAAGTACACACCGAAGCACACTCAAGTGCACACAAACGCTGCCCAGTGTATTTCTTGCAGGTTTACTATAAAAAGGATATGGTACGCTATGTTGAGGCTGCACAATTAGGGACACAATCTCAGTTATTTTGATCAATACAGGCTTATCTATCACAACTATTCACTGATGTCAAGGACAAAACATTGTTTGTTGCACCTGTTTTGCGCTACAAATCTTTGCAATACGTGAGCTTCACATAAATTCAGCCTATCTCCTGCAAAATATGAATAATGCTGCACAAAAATGCCTCACAACTTAGTTGAAAAGAGTGCAATAAGACATGTTGTTGTCAGACTAATCCAAGTTGAAACCAAGTGATTTTATCTACATGGGTTGTTCTTTTGGTCGAGTTTTCTATGTAAATAGGTCAATACAGCAGGTGATCATATTATTTAAATTATGGAAAGCCAAAATCATATTGTGACTATTATTTGATTAATCTTGCAGACCTGTGGTATCATTTTCCTGACTCTATATTGCTGTAATAAAAGCAGCAAGCAGCATGTTTGAGGTTTCATTTAGACAGAAATCAGTTACATATTCATCTACCTATACATAAAAAAATAAAATAAAAAAATTAGAAGCCTGAGAAGAAGTAAAAGAGTCAAAAAACAGCAAGAGGAAAACTGATAAATAACCAGCAACATTTCGGATAGATAAAAATCTAAAGTCATCCGCACTTTTAAATGCATGTGCTGAGCTCTGCTCCAGACAGCGGGCCTGACTTTATCCTGCTGTCAATAATACCTATTACATGATTGATCTGGACATGTGCTGGGTGTTTTTTATTTATCTTGGCTTATGGGCTCAGATTTGGTGTCAGATCATCAATTCTCAGCGATGTGAAAGGTGGACTGCACCTCCTGACAGCACATTCAGTTATGGAGCCTCTCGCTCATCTCATCAAATGCCTTCCGTAGCAATTCTTTTAGAGGTCATAAGGTCACACTTCTCATACTGTCAAGATGGCCTGTGCTTGGGTTTTATCGTAAACGTGATCTGATCATGGAGTAGGTTTCATTTAAGTTGATATCAGGGTGGTTTAGTCAGAAGAAGAAAAAAAAATGGGAGAAAAAGTAAATTTGTGGATTAGAAATAACCCTAACCGAGTAGCGTGTTGCAAACTGAAAAACAACCAGGAGTACAGGGACCATGTGTGGACTAGAAATGAGCAACACCTACCTGGAATACAGTGACGATGGCCCAGAGTAGAGTGTCAAAGTTCTTGCGGTCAGGGATTGTGTCTCCATTCTCTGTTTGTAGACTGAATTTACAACCAAAAAGATGCATGCCCAGTATACTGCGGAGAAAAAAAAAAGAAAATATAATAGAAAATGTGTTCTTCTTGACAGAGAAGTTCAGAGATAAAGGGGGTTGTGTGTGTTGTATGTTTTATACCTGAAAGTGAAGATGAAAAGCATCAGCAGCATGCAGAAGGTGGCCACGTTGTCCATGGTCTTCATCAGAACCACCAGTTGTCTCCTCAGGGCCGGCAGGAAGCGAACCAGCTTCAAAACTCGCAGCAGACGAAACGTTCGCAGGACTGACAACCCGCCGTCCGCTTGACCAATTATCTCCCACACACTGAGAACCACAAAGTGCAAAATCTGCTTTAAAATATGACTCGAAAATGTCACTGATCGCTCTTATCTGCAATGAACATCATGTTGCTCGTAGAAAACAGAGAAACAGGCCGCAGCTTAGCAAGTTTTCAGTCGTAGTTTACTTGTGTACAGCGAAAAACGATGACAGGTTTTGTTTTGAAGAGTTTGACTAGTACATGTGTAGTGATTATGAAGATAATTTTCCCATCAATAAGTCGAGTATTACGATGCCATATTTCAAAAGGTCCCAAACTAAATAGCAGCCATATAGCAAAACCCCGACTCCTGACAGAACAAGGAATCTGCTGAGGCAGCGAGCAAAAGCGCGATCCATCATGACTGTGTCAATCTACCGTAGAGACGGATGCTGCAGCACTAAACCTGACACTCCAAACCTCATGACTGACAAGCTGGAGAGGGAATCAGAACAGGGGGGCGGCAGTTGTCTGCTTAGCAAAATCTAATTTGACTGAAGCCATAATTTCCGTCTGTTTGCATCTTAATTTTGCTTGAATTTTAGAGATAAGGCAGCACGGCGTTACTATTACCTGATGATGACGATGATGCTGTCGAAGATGTTGTACGGGTTCCTGATGTATCCGAACAGGCCGAACGCCAGCAGCATGAAGCCCATCTCCAGGACAAACATACTGGTGAAAACGATGTTGCTGATCTCCAACACGTCGGTCAATTCTTCGGGCTGCAGGCGGAGAAAGCGAGAGAAAAGAGTACAGAGGGCAGGAGAGGAGGCAGGAAAACAGGAGTTAATATCTTCACTCTATAATCCCAGAGCTGTAAAACCTTTTTTTTGACTCCGTGGCCCCTGAGCTGAGACACTATCAATCAAGTTCAACACCACAGTCAGGCCTAATCAATCAAATGGGACCAACAGCACCAATCAATCACCGGTGATCTACTCCACTTACCTCCCATTACACTCGGTGATCCAGCAAAGATTTAACCCTCTCATAAAGCATGTAGCCGGGCCTTTTCTTTATGAAAAATGTGGCAATTTTGAGCTCTGGTAAATGCATTATGGGACCACATCCACAACTTTTCTTTATTGAAACAGCTCGGCTTGAGCTGAACCAGTGATCCAAATGTGCTGAAGTCGTTAAAAAAAGTGACATAAAGTCCATCTACTCTTTTCCAAATATATCACATGTCAGCATCCATCCATACAAGCATTACTGTATAGCTTAGTGGGAAAAAAAATACATAAAAGTCTTGCTGACTGGCTTTTCAATATAGTGTTTTTCACAACTGCTAGAATTAGTCAAACCATTAAAGAAGCTATTAAATGACAACAAATTTGACACTTGTGTAAAAGTCTGCAAAAGGTTTTACTGTTAAATTAACCTAAAATTATTTTTACTGAAAAACACACGCAAGAGCTACATTTTCTTTACATACGCTGGCTGAAATCTCTCATCATGCTCGAGCTAAATGCTCTGAAAAAAACACCCCTCCTCCCGCTGTCCTTTACTTATATCATATTCTCTCTTCCGTTTTCCTCCGACTCCTCGGCAACAAGCTTTGTGCAATCCCAGGATTCACACGCACTGAATAATTGTGATCCCCAGATGACTGAATCGTTCTAAACCATAAATTCTTAAACTCCGTACTCTGCCGCGCAGTTTGTAAAGCCCTTTAGCCTCTGATCCTGAATTTCTCTTCTCGTGTCGCACAAGGAAGACTCATTAAAAGTAATTGCCATTCTTTTTTGTGCCGGGTTGAACGAGTAATATCCCAACAGCCTGTTTCGTGCCCTTGCCCGCTGCATACGAACACAGGCAGAACGTGCTCCTGACTGACAATGTTTAATGTATAAAATCCTACAGTCATCCTGGTTTATGCTGTTCTATCAGCAGCCTGAAGAAACCTCCAGGAGCACATTGTGCATTGATACAACTAAAATGGAGGCGATAATGTTGTAGGGGAATTCTGGGGGAGGGGGAGGAGCAGTTGGGGAGAGGAGGTGGTGAGGGCGAGGGTTGAGGAGTGAGGACATTGGGGTGAGATACAGCATCGTGCTCTATCACCAAACTGTGCAATATGTTACTGTATCTGTATATTGTATACTGAATTTGAATGCTGATTTTGATTTGAATTTGGATTTGGATTTGATTTGAATTTTGAATGCTGCTGTTTTGTTGCTGATTTTATGTTAGTGTTGTGTTGTTTTTTGCAAATTCTAATTCTATTCTAATTCTATTCATAAGCGTATACAAGCAAATCACCTGCAGTCTGAACTCTAGCTCAGTTATTCTAGATAAAAATGGCAGCTTTATAAGATGATAATCAAACACTAATGATGCAAAGTTCAAATATAGGATTAAAATCACAGTTTTCTGAAGTCAAACCGCAGAGATTATAATCCTGATTACAGATAGAGGGCGCCACACTACAAAGCACTCGCTGCCTCACCTCACTCCACCCCGAACGCACAAACACACACAGCGCCTTGTGATTATGCAAACTGCAATCTTTGTACAGCCACACTTCAACATCAGAAGTGTTTTTCTTGCTGAAAAGCTCATTGACGCAGCATACCGACACTTTATGTACACTTTCGAGGCCCTTTAGTTCAGAATCAGAATCCGAAACAGATTTACTGCCAGATATAGTTTACACAATACGAGAAATTTGCTCTGGTGGGTTGGTGCAACAATTAACTTTCATTTTATTATTCTCCTATGACAGTAGAGTTGAGAGGAGAATGCTGGACTCTTTACTCGATTACAATAACGTGACAGCTACTAGCTGCTTTAAGCACACGAATGCTTCTGTGCTTCGAGTACAATTTGGAGTACAGAACTTTCACAATGCAGAATTTTTACAGTGCGGTTTTGCTATTTTACACATTATTACATATCTGGCAATTTGATGCACATGTGAGCATTTGTTGAGCGACTGCATGACTCGCTGTGTTGATAAATGTTCCAATATCACACCGCAATGTTTAAAACAGATGCACACTCAAAAGTATAAATGCCAGTTGGACAGAACTCGCTTAATGCATTGCTTTGCTGACCTCAACAACTGCATGAAAGTCAATATCCCTCCAGCCCACTCAGCAAGTTCTTACATTATAGTACTAGTTTGACAGTCGTTGAAATGTTTTACTGCTGGTATAAGTGTAACCTGGCTGTCTATATGAACTGGGTTGCTGAATATGGGGTACACGGCAGCTACAGTGTTGTGTAATCTGAAGCATCTTTCTTCTCCTGTGCTTACTATTTTGGGCTGATGAGCTTTCGAGTTAATTGGGACAGTCGTGAAGCTTGAAAACCGAAGCAGCTTTGCAAAAAAAAAAAAAAAAGGACGCAGAAGTAACACGAGTTGCCTGCGTGGTGCCAGAATGTTTAAAGACGAGCTGGATGGACAACAGAGCGACTCTCATGGCCGTTTGTCCAACTTTGATTGACTAGCCAGCATGTAAAAAAAAAGCTTTAAAGCGCCTCAGTAAAGTTTTAAAAGAGCTTTTCTCTTCAGCACACACAATGCAGGCCACATATACATTCCTATTTAACAGTGGACGAGCTGGCGTTTTCATTACCTCGGTGGCTCGCTGTTGTTACACCAGAGAAATTAAAGAGCATACTGCGGTTGGCAGATTTTATGCCTGCTAGGGTAATAAATGTATTTTTACATACCACTTTACTGTACAGTCTGTTACAATACGGTTGGATAACACAGTGCAAAACAAAGCTGACTCGAGTGCTTTCTGTGGTTTTGTTTCATGCAAAAACTACCTCAAACACAGAAGATGTTTAAAGACTACAAAAAAAAAGCTGTGGCAAGTAAAAAAAAAAAAAAAACACTCTTCCTACATTAATAAATCCTATCAAGGTGCCCTTGAGTTGTCAGCATCGTCCCACAATTCGCTTTTACAGCGTGGTAGCAGCCCTAGACCGTCACCATCATTAGTAACTGAGTGGTTTCAAAATAATGAAAAGGCTCTCAACCATATGTCAAGCTAGTTTATGCATCATACCGCGGTCCCGAATGAGCATTCAGAATTATTCCATCAGACGTAGTTCTCCATTACTATCATTACATTTGATAGACAAAGCCATCAATCAGAATCAAGTGTTGTGCCAGAGCCCACACGGAGACGTTTGGGGCATTTGGAATTTCGAACACAGCTCCGCTCGTGACCTTGCCCTTAAAAACACGAGGACAAAAAATACAGAGAGACAGAAGCCCTCACACACACAACTCATCTGGCGAAGCAGGGCAGAGGAATAACCTTGATTATAAAGCAGGGAACTGGCAAATAAACTAAATCCTGAAAACACAGAATGTAATGAAGAGGACTAAATAATACAGTATATCTTAACTTCTACTGTGTATTTCAAATTACAGGCCAAACGTATGTATGAACATTAAATAGAGGGACGATGCATCCAATTAAAACAAACCAAGTTGATTTTATTTTGATTTTTTATTCAATTTCTAACGGTTTTAGCTCTATGATATTCATTCTACCCGTTACATATCAAACAAAGACATTTAAAGTCTGCTCTTTCCTGTCACACATCTGGACGTCACATTTTAGACTGAAATTTATGAACAGCGTGATAGTTTCCTGGTTGAAATTCTCATCTGTCAGACAGCTGCATAAGGAGAAAAGTGCGACATCAATACCCTTCCAGGATTCATCCATTAATCCAATAATCCACCAAAAGCGTCTTTGATACGGTGACAGTTAGTTTGGTGTCAGCTCTGATGAAACAGTCAGTAAACGCCAAGACGTATTTTGTTAACTCTATGAACCCCAAAAGCCAAATGGCGGATTTAAAAGCCGTGGTATCTTTAAAAAGTACAAAATTGCACCTTTTATCAAAGCTGGACACTTGGAAAAACAACTTTTTGACGGTTTTTGAACGACTCATCTGCATTTAAAAACAGAAAAAAAGTCACATTTCCTCAAAATCACTCTATTTTGCATGTCCCGCTAAACAAAATAGCCAAAAATAAAGTCTTTGCTTTTAGTTGATTCTGTAAACAACAAAAACAATCTGCGCTCGTCATCACCACCGACAAGCTACGAATGTCGGGGACTTTCTCAGGTGAACTGGGTTGAACTGCAGGCAGTGTTTACATAAAGCGGGGCGGATCCAGGATATTTTCAGTAGGGGGGGCACAACAGATATTTGAAGCAAGAGGACCGAAGCGAACAAAAGCAGGAAGAGCCAAGTGACAGTGTATTCGGGTAAAATTGTTCAAGGACAAACATCAAGTTATTAGGAGATGATACTAGCCTATATGACATCACGACAACGTATGTTCGTCTACAGCAGAGGTGGGCAATCCTGGTCCTCGAAGGCCACAATCCTGCATGTTTTAGATGTTTCCCTCTTCCAACACACCTGATTCACATGATCAGGATCGTTATCAGGCTTCTGCAGAGCTTGATGATGAGCTGATCATTTGAATCAGGTGTGCTGGAAGAGGGAAACATCTAAACCATGCAGAATTGTGGCCTTCGAAGACCAGGATTGGAGACCCCTGGTCTACAGCGTCTACTCACAAAAACAACAAAGTGAGAAGCTGATCTCTGCTTAAACTGAGCAAAAACAGCACTTTAAAGTTGACTCTGATGACAGAAACAGACCTTAGAGTTGCACTAAAAAGGTAAATAATAAGTTTGATCTTGCTGTACATGTCTGCTGGTGCTGCTACCTTCTGATTCTTCTGACAAGTGATCATTGTCAGGATCTGCCTCCTGGCAGTAGTCTACCACTGGTGCATCTCAAGGTATAGATTGAAACAGTTAATAGCTCTTTAACCAACATTATACAGATTAAAAGAATTGCAATTTGTTAAATGTCTTGCCATATTGTAAAGGACATAATTAAAAACAACACAGAAATCAATGCCATCAGTTTAGTCATAGAAACCATTAGTTTTCAGTCATTTAATTCACCCAACTATGACTGAATAACAAATAAATTCTGTTGTTTGGTAAAAATACACGTCTTTTCATATCTGCATTTTCACCTGGAGGGTCATGGTTGCTGCTCTGGCCCTGGATGCTTCCCTCAACAGCACATGATGATGGTCCCTGGCTGCATTCAGTCTGACCCTGGCTCTCTCCGGACTCTGAGCTGTCAGTGCTGTCAGTCTGACCTGCAGTGTCCCTGCTCTCAGTGTTCTGACCTGCGACTGACTTCTTTTTAATAAAAAAGTTTTAAATGTCTCCTCTCCGTTTCATTCTCTGTGAAACCTATTTATTTATTTATGCCGCTCCTTCTCGTCTCTTCTTGGACATCAAACGTCGTTCGCAAATGTCCTCTCAATCCAAACTAAACGCAAGTACCAAATCAAAAAGCACCTTTGGTGCATTCAGTGGCAGTCGGAAAACGACATTGTGTTCAACAGCGTCGTAATTTGGAGTTTCTGTATTGGTAATATCAATTTCAAACAAATTTTTTTGGGGGGGGGGCACATGGGGTGGCCAATCGGAAGCCCCCATGGTAGATCCGCCACTGCTTGTGAGCACTTGAAAAAATGTTGAACTAAATAAATAATCCAAAAAATACATTTTGTTTCTTCATGCTTTATGATTTATGGCATTATAGTTGAGTAAAAATAAAAATGAGCAGATAAAAAATGCCTAAAACTGCTTGAATTCCAGCTCAACATTCAACATGGTCCAACATCTAAAAAAAACGATGGGGAAAAAACTTTGTTTAGTGCTTANAATGATCAGGATCGTTATCAGGCTTCTGCAGAGCTTGATGATGAGCTGATCATCAGGTGTGTTGGAAGAGGGAAACATCTAAACCATGCAGGACTGTGGCCCTCGAGGACCAGGATTGCCCACCCCTGGTCTACAGCGTCTGCTCACAAAAACAACAAAGTGAGAAGCTGATCTCTGCCTAAACTGACCAAAAACAGCACTTTAAAGTTGACTCTGATGACAGAAACAGACCTTAGAGTTGCACTAAGAAGGTAAATAATAAGTCTGATCTTGCTGTACATGTCTGCTGGTGCTGCGACCTTCTGATTCTTCTGACAGTGATCATTGTCAGGATGTGCCTCCTGGCAGTAGTCTACCACTGGTGCATCTCAAGGTATAGATTGAAACAGTTAATAGCTCTTTAACCAACATTACACAGATTAAAAGAATTGCAATTTGTTAAATGTCTTGCCATATTGTAAACGACATAATTAAAAACAACACAGAAATCAATGCCATCAGTTTAGTCATAGAAACCATTAGTTTTCAGTCATTTAATTCACCCAACTATGACAGAATAACAAATAAATTCTGTTGTTTGGTAAAAATACACGTGCAACACTCTTTTCATATCTGCATTTTCACCTGGAGGGTCATGGATGCTGCTCTGGCCTTGGATGCTTCCCTCACACATGGTGATGGTCCCTGGCTGCATTTAGTCTGATCCTGGCCCCCTCCAGACTCTGAGCTGTCAGTGCTGTCAGTCTGACCTGCAGTGTCCCTGCTCTCAGTGTTCTGACCTGCTACTGACTTCTTTTTAATAAAAAAAGTTTTGAATGTCTCCTCTCCGTTTCATTCTCTGTGAAACCTATTTATTTATGCTGCTCCTTCTCGTCTTTTCTTGACATCAAACGTCGTTCGCAAATGTCCTCTCAATCCAAACTAAATGCAAGTACCCAATCAAAAAGCACCTTACGTCTTTGGTGTATTCAGTGACAGTCGGAAAACAGCATTGCGTCGTAATCTGGAGTTTCTGTATTGGTAATATCAATTTCAAACAAATTTTTTGGGGGGGGCACATGGGGTGGCCAATCGGAAGCCCCCACGGTAGATCCGCCACTGCTTGTGAGCACTTGAAAAAATGTTGAACTAAATAAATAATCCAATAAATACATTTTGTTTCTTCATGCTTTATGAAGATAAAAATGAGTAGGAAAAAAATGCCTAAAACTGCTTGAATTCCAGTGTTAACGTTGCTGCATTTTGCATATAACAGCTCAACATTCAACATGGTCTAAAAACGATGGGGAAAAAACTTTGTTTAGTGCTTAAGGCTTGGTATATTTCAACATATTTGGTCTAATAATTGTTTCATAACAGCAGGTGCATCCAGCAGCAGCTCCAACATCTGCCAGAAGGAGCAGCTCCACCCAGATCAAGCTGCATGTGAAGCCTCCTCTCTCTTCAATTGTCAAATTAAATAACCAAGTTAATATAATTTAATATGCTGCAATTACCAGTTTATTTAGAATTCATTTAGACTAAAAAGACGAGCAGTCAGAGAGCACTTCGTTAATCTGGAGATAATGTGGAAATTTATTTTTTTCCCTGCCAACCAGTCAAAGAGTAGAATTTATTTGACCAAGATTTAATGTTAGTAGACTACAGCCCCGATAAAGGAAGCAACAAAACCCAAGCTGTTTGACTTTTTGACACTTTCCTTGAGAGACTTCCTTTATTTTGCATTTTGTTGTGTTTGTGCTTTTAACACGAAAACCTCAAGGAAAGGCTATAACTAGCCTGCATCTTAGGGATTTAACTACCACGCTGTGTTTTTTTGGTGAGTTATCAATGCGTCATTGTTAAACTACCTACATGGTTAAGTAACACCACCTAGCTGCGTTTTGAAACCCTGACTCACATGTTTACTACTACTTCTTATAGTACTCTGTGTAACGTCAAACTGTGAGGAAGCTAAAAAAAAAAAACAGTTAAATATCTGATGTGAACGGCCAGACAACTAGGTGAAAGTCAGTTTACATGCCGGCTTTTTGCTTTCACACGGTCTGGATAATAGCAGTCTATTTCCAAAACTGGAATCAGTCTAAACACGGCCAAAAAAACAAGCATCGATCATCTCCCGCGTTCTCTCTTCCTGTCTCTCCCTCTACAGTCTGCACTATGCCTCCCACGTTCGTACACCTCTTCACACACATTTACACTCGTAGTCTCATAAAGTTTGGCTAGGTGTCACATATGGGGGATGATGAGTACTGAGGGGAGGAGGATCTTGTACATAACACTTCAGCCTCTGTGTGTGTGTGTGTGTGTGTGTGTGGTGTTGCCCTAAAAAGGCCATGGCTCCTCCAGTCGCTCCTTATGTTTATACCACAAAGATAGAAACACACACACACATCCCCTGGAGAGGGAATTAGAGGAGAGGGAGGCAGGGAGAGACAAAAAAGAGAGAGAGGAGGGAAGGAATGGACCGTGTGCCTGCAAAGACTCTTCTCTTCGGGTTCCATCCATTCCTTTGCCCTGATGGGAAACGAAAAGGTTGTGTGCGTGCGTGCGCATACGCCTCGTACTCACTTGGGTGTGAGGACTCAGTAAACGAATGTGTCTGCGCAATCGCACGCATTTTGCAAGACGGCGGAGGAAGAGAACGAGGAGGGGAATTATTAGACCAAAACTTCCCAGATGTTGGCTTCTGAGGCTAAACTAGAAACAGAAGCTGGGAGTGTGTGACGGCGGCTCGATTTGGATTTGCTTTTTGTGGTGTGAGAAAGAGGATGAGTCCTCCTCTGTCCACCCTGCCTCCTCATCTCCTCTCAAATCCCATTTTCACACACCGCTGCTGTCAACAGCTCTCCTTAAACCTCTTGTTTATTTATGAAGGTCAAACAAAAAGCGCAGATCTAAACTGCTCCATCAGGGCCACATTTACAGAAACACCTGGAGCAGAGCCTCTCACCTGCTCGTGGTACTCTATCCCCATGCTCAGAGTATTGACGAGGATAGCGATCATGATCCCTCGGTTGAAGTATTTACTTTCCACGATCCTCCTCAGTTTGTCTCTAAAGCTTATCCAGGCCTGAACGGCTCCGTTTTTGTACTCCACAACTCCACGCCGTCTGCGACCTCTGCCTCCTCTTAGGTCTCCCCCCTGGAAGTTAGAGTTTGGATACAGTACTTTAGTCTTCAAAAACATAGAAAATAAACAGCAAAAACAGCTTTAAGTCGTAGTATTCTAGATCAGCGTCAAGACCAGGAAGTAAACTAATGTACTGGCTTGTTTTTATTCATGTCAAATTCTCAAATTTATCCTCTGAGTTCATCACCATCATCATTAGTACACCACGCTGACCTGGGGGAAGTCGTGCAGTCCGTCGGCCTCGCCCTTGCCTCCCTCCAGGTCTCCCAGTTCCAGCTCCAGAGTCTCCAGGCTGCGGGCGCACAGAGGGCAGCTGAGCAGCTCCAGGAGCAGGGGGCTGGGCACCACGCCTGCCAGCTGGTACAGCAGCCGCTGGCGGCCTGCAGGGAGAGAAATGAGAGGACGGGGTCAGACGCTGCAGGAGGGCTGTTTTCTAGCTGTCTTGTTGCGCTTGTTGTTGTTGTCTCTTCGGCTTTACCGAGATGTGCAAACATGTTTCTTCTTTTTTCATCACTTTCACTTGTTATTTTTTCACAAATTTAACAGTACAGGTAGATAAAGCCAGAGCTATACACTGTAAAAAAAAAAAAAAAAAAAATTAACCAAAAAAGAAAGTAATATTTCAACAGATATTGTGCCTCTTTTTTTTCTTTTTTTTTAAATGCAGAAAAATGACAAAAAAAATTAAATAAAATAAAAAATCATGTCAAAAGAATTATAGTCATTTTTAATCAAGTGCATTTTCTGGGGGTTTTTAATCTTTAAAGACAATTATTAATATGTGTAAAACAATTAAATTACTTGTAAAGATGGTGGAAAAATGTTATTAGCTGGACTTCACTGAATACTTTAGTGCAAATAATCTTGTAAGAACTGTCAAAATACTGCTGCAACACTAATAATTCACTTTTAGACTGCAAGAGTCGATTGTTATTTTTAAAACAAATCAAGTGAGAGAAAATCAAACTGTATGTTGCTTTTTAAAATGTTTGACTATTTTTAATGTGGAAAACTAATTATTTTCTTCAAGAAATGAAAGTTTTATGGTTATACACAATGTTATTCTACACTAGACATGTAAACCCACAATTTGTTTGTGTAATTTTCTTATCATTTATTATGTATTTGTTATTTATTTGTTGAAAAAACATGAAATAAAAACTTAAAATAACAGTGTTTACCAGTATAGTTCATGTTAAATACGCTGCTTTTATTCATGTAAATCTAGCAAATCGCAAATAATGAAAACAAATGGTTATCTTTTTTTCCAAATTGACATTTTGTGTAAACTTCTGTTTTGTCACTTGCACAAACTCTTCGATAAATCACATATTTTGCATCAGAGCCTTATTGCTACATCAGCAGGGTGGTTTTATTGGATGATTTAAACTAACTGCAGACCGACAGAAGATGTGTCACTCAAGGTTTTGTTGCAGTAAAACGTCCTCTTGTGCACTAAACAGACAAAGTAGTAAAGACAAGTTAGATTTTAGGTTTTATTTGTGAAAAAAGCCAATAAGACGACTCTAGTGAGTCAAATGAAAGCTGCCGTATCGTTATCTTTCTCACCAGTGCAGCGCTGACAGCTCTCATAAAGCTGCGATTCTACCTGCAGCCGGTAAAGACGAAATGCCTTTTCAGACTGAACTCTATCCCTCTTTGAAAGGTCTGAAAATCACATTTTAAGACAGCTAATAGCATCACGTAGTGTTTTATCTTTGATTGATGTTAGATTCAATCGGATTAAGCGTTATTTAAAGCAAGACCAAGGGATGGAGAGAGTGTTCTTTCACCCCTAAGCTGGGCCCGACGTCTCCAACGGCAAAGTGAGGAAGTCTGCGTGTGGCCATAAAAGACAAAGCACAGACGGTTAACCGCTCTGCAGCGAGCGCAAATCATTAAGCTTATTGCTGTGAGTGTAGGATAATTAAAGGTGAGTAAAAGTTAGTGTATCAACACTTCTACCGAGCTCAATGGGTGATTTTTATTAGCACAGTAGAAAACCAGAGTGAGAGGGAGAGACGCTGTAAGGACATAACACGAGTGGAATTTTGCATGCACCGCTCAAGGGTTGTCCTTTTTTTTTCCAGTCGAGAGCCGACACGCACCGGTTTCCGCAGCGAGTATACCGCGAGCTCGCCCACAGTTTGAGATCCCTGCTGCCTCTTTTCACCCTCTGTTCTCTTGACTGTAGTTTCTTTTTTTCAAAAACCAGAACAGAGGAAACCACAAAGCGCAGCTGAAAACTAACAGAAGCAAAAAAACGCTCGACTTCCGGAAACGTCCGTTCTTCAAAAGCGGTCTCGGCAGCGCGTAAAGTTGTTTACGAAGCCGTCTCGCACCTCGAGCTATAAAAACTGGAATTGTCATCGTATTTCATTGTCTTTTATAATCTCTTAAACATCGCGGTGGTAAATAAATTCCCCTGTCTCGTCCTGACTCCGATCTTTTGACAGACTGTTTGTATTCTTGCAAACTCTTTTAGCGAATTCCTTCAGGGGAGAAAATCACTATCTGGCCCAAAAAAAAGCTCATCCCCATCCCCCCCTACAATACCTTATATTGCATTAGGTTAGATTTGATTACATTTACACTAAAATTAGATTTGGGAGCGACAGACATGAAGAATCTTCTCAAGAACACAGTTGCTTAAAGGGGCCATTTAACCAAAAAACAAGGTTTAGCAGAGATCGACTCGTCTGACGAAGCTGAAAGTGCACGTTTAGATCCAGAAATGTCATTTAAAGCGACTGAATGTGTGATCTTTAACAAGAGGTGTTGCACTTTGAAGCGCCAAAGGATTCGGAGGAGTATCGACTGTCTCACACCAGTGCTGCTCTTCAGCGTTCTTCCCCTTTTTCAGGCCTCTTCCTCATCACTGTCTTTCGCCAATTCATCACATGTCACAGTCGTTCTTCACTTCAACGAGTAATTCATGTGCACTTAATTATGTTTGAGTGTCAGCATGTGTGTGCGGTTGTTGGCAGTCTCGGCTCATTTGAACCGAACAGACGAGTCGATCGCACTGATGCTGGGGTTTTTTTTTCCTTCACGAAAAGCACATTTTGTCTCTTTTCTGGCTGTTCTTTCTCATTTGTCTCTTTCTTTTGTTTCCCCTCCTTCTTGTAATTGATCTCATTTATTTTTCTCTCTATGCCTCCCACTCTTAGCATTTCCTTTCTCCTTTCATCTTCCAGGATCGCATACCTGCATTTCTGTTTACACTACTACTACTTTTCCTTCCTCTTTCCGCGCTCTTCCCCGAGCGTCACGTCGGTTCGCTCGATCCTCCACCTTCACCCGCCGCTCTGCAGCGATGACTGTAACGCGAGACATAGATTTCCTGTCAGGGCTCTAAGTGCCGCAGACGTAGCTACAGGCTAACTCAGGTCAGGCTCGGGGAAAGAGGACACAGGTACGTGTAGGAAGAAAGCGCAAACAATGGAGACGAAAACAGGAGCTGAAAGCGAGCGCGATGATGACGCTGTAACGGAGCCCGAGGGAAATCTAAAGCATCAAGTACAGTTAAAAGACAAAGGGATAAAAAAAAAAAAAGAAAGAAAAGTAAAAGAAGAAAGCAAAACAAACAAATGGGAATTATCGTTCTACTTAGATGAGAAGATTAAAAGGGCTATAAAGTCTGAAAATGCTTTCTTTGGCTCAGGTCTTCAATCTCTTTGGAAGTGCTTGCTGCTTTTTTTAACCTCTTCTACTCTGGAGGTCCAAGTGCTGCGACCGGAAAACAATTTCTTCAAAGGTTACTGAGTGCGTCCCGTTCACTTAGTAGTGACTGGAACCACCAGCGCTGCAAAAAGATGCCAACACTTGCTGCGTTCCATTTCCATCAAATTTGGTAGAGACCCCGCTGAGAATACTGAAAAGAGGACCAATAACTTCTTGCTGAGCTATTGTTACAAGACTGTTATGTGCTCTCTATTTTTAAAGTAAAAATGCCCATTTTCACTTTCCAAATCTCACCCTGGCCCTGGTGATAAAGATGCAAAGACCAGTGGTATCTATGTAAGTGTCTCCCTGGTTTCTCTTATTCATATTTTTGCTCATTTTGGCTTTATAGCTTATCTGTTGTGGGTTATACATCTGGGGAAATCTCCACTTGAAAAATCAGGTGGACACTTTATAAAATAGCCTTGGGCTCCAGGGCCTCAGCCTCCTCTCAGACACCTAAATTGTGATTTTATGAGCAGGAAATAAAGACGGTGAGCAGCAAAACCCAAACTCCAGCCTTAAAAGACTCCCTTCAGGAAGCTGCAGGTGATGTGAGACGTATGTTTTCCTGCAGTTTATGATCCTTACGATGTGTTTGCGTGCAGTGTTTGCGTTCTTACTGTGCTGCCCCATGAGCTGGTAGAGTTTGCTCAGCGTCTCTGTGTGTTCCGACGCCGGGTGGTTCGGCGGATGCTGCTCCGGACTGGGGCCACACTGCTTCGAGTGGGGTGGCGGCGTCTTGCTGCTGTAGCTGCACACGAACGACGGCAGGATGGTGGGATAGTTCATCCCCCCGTTGAGTCGCCCCAGCAGCGCCCCCATGCCCTGGGCGACGGCGGTGGGGCTGTCGCCGCTATTTCCGTTCGCGCTTCCCCTCCGGACGGAAAGCGACTTCATCTCCACTTCCTCCCCTCCTCCCATACGTCCTCCCCTGTCCATGTGCTCGGCGGTCGCCACGCTGACAGCGTGCTGCCCGCCGTTGCTGAGGCGACAGTGCTGGTGCTGGTGGTGCTGCAGAAGGTTGTGGATGGGCCTCAGCCACAACGCGTTACCCGGGCCTGAGCCTCCGCAACCTCTGCTCGAACTGTGGCCGTGTCCGTTACCGCCACCATTGCTGCCTCCTCCGCTGCCATTGGGATTCACCTTTTTGCGCCGTTTACTGTTCAGGGGACATGAAATAATAACTGAGCATGAATAGAGAAGGTGTGACAAGAGATTGTAATATTTATTCTGCATGTGTTTGTTTGCATCGGAAAGCATCTCTAGGGATGCAACAGTTTTGCAGGCCAGCAATGCAAAATACACAATTACCACAGCTCACTGAATTATTAAATGCTGAGAACAAAGCGTATTTAGCCACCCTAAAGTGTTTCAGATACCTACAGGAAGACCGGCAGAGACTCATCATCGTAGCAGTGTGTCAAACAGATGACTGTTTCATGAACCTTCTATTATACTCCTCCATTTTGGTCTATCCTTTGCATGTAGTTGCCATTTGTTCTTGTCTATGTCCTTCTATTTCATGTTTCTTTTGACTGTATCTAAGTCGAGGCTTTCCCTGGTTTCTCTTAGAGTAGCTGCCAGGCGAGACATAGGGTATTCTCTCCTTTCAACTATTTCAGAAAACTGCTTGCTAAGTATTTGCTGCACTGCTAGCTTTTGCGTGGACTAACTGCACATTCTTGGCAGTAACTGGCATATTCTAGTGGCAAGGGCAGGCCAAGACAAACTGGGGCCAATTCCTGTTGCAGCGACTAGCGAGATAGGTATGTTTATCACCGCTCTTTGGGAAGTGCCTGTCACGATGCACTGGCTGGCATTGGTCCACTATGGACCATTTGGCGGATATTTTATTTGGTTCCGCCAGGATGTCCGGCCCCACCCTCCTCATCTAGACAAGAGCCTAGATGGGGTGTCCGGTTCAGTCGCTGACGACCCGACCTACGCAGCAGGTTGCACCGAGTGGTTGTTGGTAGCAGGCGAACAATGACCTGACCTGACACATAATGCAAAGACGACATGATTTAATTTCACCTGTATCTGACCGGACATTCCCACCCGATGCCGTACCTGTGCCACCCAGAGTATATCCTCTGCAGCCTGCGCGTTAACTTGCGGTAAAGGTGACTGATGTAGCGCAACATCTCCTCATAGCATGAGCCCGGCTCGCTGTAGCTGGCCAGCGTGGAGTCGTTGGACATGTAGCGAGCACGCTGCTCCCTCATCAGGGCGTTCTCCCTTTGCTTCGTCTCGGAGAACTGGGTGGCGATGACCACGAGGCACAAGTTGATCATGAAGAAAGAGCCCACCTGGTCGCGGGGAGGTAAAGAGCAGCGATATAAGACTAATAAAACCATAGCAATGCATGTTTCCTAATGATACAGCAGCAGTTGTGTTGTTTTACCCAGCAGACCTATGAAAGTGCTGATAGAGTAGGTAGAGACCCAGCTGCTGGAACAGAAAGTCAACACTGTGGCTACTTCATCAATATTTGATCTAAGGAACAACTCACTGTTGCCTTTATCCCTTCTTGTGGTGTTAAAAGTGCAATAAAACGTTCTGTCAACAAGAAGCATTATAATGGCTTATATATTATTAAGATGCAGCCTGTTTTGCTGGGAGGACAAAACTCACTTTGCTTTTATCATTACTTTGAAATAATGAAATTTGAATTTCGCTCCAATGACGCGGCTTTGGCAGGAAGTTAGAAATATATATCAAGACTATAATGCAATCTGTACTTAACACGTCGTTACTGTAAGCTGCTGAAAGACTGGTAGGAAATTAGATGAGCACTTCCTCCATCTGTTTATTGAATTGTTTTTTGTTCTTTTTCTGACACTTCCATTTGTCTTAATTCTGTCTCACCCACTTTCTGTATGAATGTTTTTCTTTCAGTCCTTTTTGTAGGCCATCCTCGCTCCCCGTCCCTCCTTCTCTCTGCCTCTCTCCTTCCAAATGCATAATAAGCATTTTTACTTCAAACGACAGGCGGGCAGGGAGCTCATACGGCATTGTAAAATATAGCCTAAGCTGGGATCTTGGAAAACCCCCACAACAGCATGATAAGAGCGAAATCGTATATGATAAGAAGTCTACGAGGTTCAACAAAAGGGGACTTAAGCTCCGAGCGGTGTTTAGTGGCTAACTTTAGAAAGGTTATTCTGGGTTTTGCACAGCAGAAGTGAAATGCAAAAACATCTTTTAAGGATTCAAACCAACGCAGACTATGTGGAGCTTCAAAAAGCAAGACTAAAGAAATGTGTACCTCACATAGTGAGTTCAGAGAAGTCTTGTCTAGAGCCTCAAGCTGGAATTTCGGGGCAGAAACAGATTTTAGGGAGAAAGAAATTCTGATCTTGATATATGGGCTGATGTTGTTTACGTAAATGTTGGAGTTGAAAAGAGACAATGATGGAGTCATTTTTTTTTATTTACTCTCCAGCAATGTGTTGCTAGTTAGCAGCTTACTGTGACAACTCTAAAGCACTGTTCAGCTGTGATGAGTACTCTACTACATGTGCTGCAGAAAACGCTCAAAGTAAACAATGGAGCTGCTCAGCTGGATAAACTATGCAATGACACTATTTCTAAATTACCCCAAGCACCTTTTTCTGTACTGTCTTCTGTAAAAGAAGGTTTTTATATTGGAGCATATTGGACAACATTTATGTCAACATCAGCCAAACAATATATCAGTGGGGCTTTATTCTTGTTGCTAAATTGGTTTGCATCAAGTGGGTTATTCTTTAATCTTTGATGCCTAAATCCGATCATATATGTGAAATAGTGAGTTATGTAATGGAAAGAAATAGTAGATTTAGATTTTAAAATGTTGAAAAACCTGACTTGAGGACAGCTTCAGGATGCATAGATGGCTGTTTTTTTTTTTTTTTTTGCAAAACGGCCCAGTGTTTTAGAGAAAGTCACGATTAACTAGAAGATTTATGGGTCAGGTTCAAACAAGACCCATGGTTGGCAATATATTCTAGTTCCATGAAATGTATATATATATATTTTAAAATCCACTTCTTTTGGGCTTGATTATGGAGACCTAGCCAAACATTAATTCACAAATTATTTACAGTTGGTGATAAAAAATATATACATAAACAAAAGTTGTACTTACAATAATGAGCAGTATAAAATATATAAAATTGTAGAAGGAGTGAGCGTCCATGACATAGTACATGATATCTACCCATCCTTCCAGTGTGATGACCTGATGGCAAAGAAGACACAGACAGAGAGTGGAAGGAAGGCTTTTAGTTAAAATGAACAGCAAAGCAGAAGGAGAAAAAAAAAAAACATTCTTTCATAGCTCTGCCCATTACTCTTTCTTCAAAAAAAAAAACATATGACAAGCACACCCACGCACATACACAAAGACTGAGCTCACAGACACCCACGGACACACACTCCAAAGTACGCAGCAGCCAGAATGTTCTGTTTTTAATGGCTGCTCCTCTGAAGAAAGTCTGCGGTGTCCCTCCAGCCTCTTGTAAGCATGTGTGTGTGTGTGTGTGTGTGTGCCAGTGCCAGTGGAATGACGCAGCTCTTTCATGTAGCCACTATGCTAATGAGCAGCCGAGATGTTGAGACTTGAAAGCGGGCGGCTCAGCTCAGCCGAGCCGATAATGCGCTCACACCTCAACGTTTACACCTCGGCTACCATGAAACACTGCAGCGCAAACTGCTGGCGCGCGCACGACAACAATAGCGTATAGATGAGGCAAACACAGATGCCAGCATTCACGTGCATGCATATCTGTGTGTGGAAAAAAAACTAAAATAAAAAAACCTTGCACACCATAAACAGACAATATGCACACACACACACACACACCCAGAGGAGACTAATCCGCTCTCCTCTGGAATACTCACACAAGATTAACCAAAGAGCCAGATTCTCATTTCTGAGCAAATGCACACCTGAAAACTCCAGTCACAGTGCGTTTGTTTCATTCTACAGAACCAGACAGAACATGCATATATTTAGTTTATTACGGGGGATTTTCACGCGGGCCTCAGCGTTAACACCTGACTGACTGCACCTCATTCATACAGCTCATCTGAATTGCGTACATCAGCAACAAAAAGCTCAAATCTTCCACACAGCTGATCCTTCTTGATGACAAGTGAAGCCCTTTTTCTAACCACATGAAGGAATGAGGGCATTCTGAGCTGACATGGTTTATTTAAGAGGGGACACGGAGGTGACAACCAGAACGAATTATCTGCTGACCCCCCTCCCGAAGGCCAAAACCCTTCATCTGCTCCTGACTCATCTGGAAGATCAGACATTGCTCACAAAGTATCAGGTCCAGTAATACATGCTAATGACTTGCATTAGGAGCAGAGAGCACGCGCTCAGCTGTCACCGGTAAATGACTCAACCAACACATTGTTCTCGATCCGTAATGGACGGTTTGGCATAGCACGTGCGCTTGAGTACGTTCAGGGTCGGAATTCATTAACCTGCGGCTTGATAGGAACATTGGACTAATAAATCGAAGATACGCTCGCTTCTCTGATCATCTCTCCTCCACAAAAATCCTGCACTCAAACACGATTTTGAGGTAGCTGTACTTCCTTTAAGGGTTTTCTATTCTATGATGTTTTCTAATTTCAATGCAGTGCATTTGAGAGGGAAATACAGCCCATCCTACACCACTCAATGTATTTGTCAGCTTCAGTTACATTAAAGATTAAGATGCTACACACAAAATACAATGGATTGTTAAAGTTTAAACGTGTGGTTTCCAATCTGTTTGGCTTCTGGCGTCTTACAAAAAGCAGTCAGCAGTCTGGGTCACATTTCTCATGTCAGTGAGTTGTTAAAAATCCCAGGAAATAGTCATTTTCCCCTCTAAACGTCCCTCACAGTTTCATTTCAATACACGTGAAAAAGGCAAATGTTCTTGCTGCAGACAAACATTAAGGTTTAGGGTGTTTTAAGTGAAAATGTGCCATTGTTGCTGATATTAATATATATAATTTACAAAATCACTAATGTCATTAAAAACTAACAGCTAATAAGTATGATTATTATTTAACAATTATGATTGCACTCTTATGGTAAATGAACGTAAACTCAAAAGGTAAGATGAGCTAACAGTAAATACTGAAGTAACTCTGAGCAAAAACAAATTCACTTCATCATCAACAGCTCAACAACAATCAACGATGAAAGAAAACAGACTTGTGCATCAAAACTTCCATTTTGCAATCTTGTGGGTCCTTGTATACAAAGTACTTGAGACTTGCTAAACCTGCAGCAGGTACAACAGTAACATGCTGCTGAGACACTGATGCTGCAGTATTAATAATCTAATCATGGTACACATCATAACATATCAATCAGAGGGCCCAAACCACTACTATTACATTAATACTTCAACTACATTTTGCAGCTTATGCAATTTTACTTAAATTTTCATGCAGGACTTGTACACTAAATGGAGTATTTTGCGTTGCTATATTGATACTTCTACTTTAGTAAAGGATCTGAACACTTCTTCCACCACTGCTCTCCTCTTTAGCTTTTCATCTGCCACTTTCACTTCATCTGTTATCATTCCTTCCCTCTCAGCTTTGACAGAGGTCACTCCATTAACTGCCCTGTAAATCTTTACATCTGGACTGGATTTGAGAAGCCTGTAAAATCAGTTATCACATCATGTATTTATTGAACCCTACAATGAGCCCCTCTAGTGTTGGGGGGGGGGGAGACTTTTGTGATCCATAAAATGTTTACCATCTTGGGTCTTAAACAGAAATGTTCAATAAAGGTGATCACATTAGACTGCCTAGATACATTCAAGGAATCAACAATATCCTTGCGGTGTGTTTGGTGTATTACTCGGCCCTAGTTGGGACACAGCTAAGCCATAAACTTGGCTGAGGTCGGCACCAAGTTTCAAGTGTTTCCAGCTTGTTGTACTTTGCCGGAATCCCACGGTTACCCCGGATTAACTCAATTTGGAGTCATGGGCTGAAATGTTTTCAAAACTCTGTTCCTAAAATGTATAATTCATGTTCTTTATATTTACAGATACTGTAGGAATAAAGCTGTAGAAAGGAAATAACAAGCCAGGCGCCTCATTTAACATTCAATACAGCACTTTCATTTCTGTTTTCAACATACTTTGATTCGCTCCCTCCATCTCTGGATCAATCTCTTGCATAACTCCTCTTTTTCTGTCTCATCTCTCTCACACTTACTCTGCTTCTATTCATACATCCAACTGATTAACAAATATTCTGTAAAATGATGTTACTAAGAGGTTCTGACGATGTGATCAATGTGCTGATCACTCGGTGTCAGCAGCATCGTTAACCCTCTGAACCCCAAAGCCCACCAGCAGATTTGAAAGGTATTATATATTATAACAAATAGTCAAAATTACACAATTCATCAGAGCCAGAAACTGTAAAAACAGAAAAAATCACAACATTTTTACCTTTACAACAGTCCTTGAAGTAATTATCTGCCACATGCAGTTTTGTTGCTAAAAGAAATGATATCTAAGCTTAAAATTGTAATATTTTATCAAAAAATTATTTAATGGTCTTGTCTAAAAATGTGTCCAAAACAAAGTATCCCCACTAAAGAGATCTTGTAAAAAAACAAACAATTCTACACTTCTCATCCCAACTATGAAGCCAATAATGATTTAGATGGGACAAACAGTCACGTGACAAAAATTCTGACTTTTTGCATGAGCTCAGCTGAACTGCAGGCAGTGTTTCCACAGAGCAGTGAGGGCAAGGATGCAAATTAAAAATGCAAGTAGTAAAATATCTATAGTTTACAGAGTCACTATTTTATCCGAGTATTGGTAACACCTGTAGTCACCTGGAAAAATGCTCCACATGCTGATCCCGGGATTGCTCAAATTTTGTGAAATAATGAATCAAAGATTTCTGGGTTGACTTTTCTTTCTCACGCGGTCAGAAGGCATTTTTGAGTTCTCTCTAAGTTTAGCGTTTCCATCAAGGTACAGTTCTTTATATTGCAGTGAAAAATCAGCCCACAGTTCGTAAAAATGCGACAGGAGCAAAAAAAAAAAAAAAAAAAAAAAAAAATGTGTGTGGTTCAGAGGGTTAACTGAAAAACTCCCATTGCCACAGATCTTTGACGAAACAAATAACACCATCTCGTTCAAAGGTCTCTGCAGCATTGAGCAAATTCTGTCGGAGTCTCTCTTCCGTGCGTGCCCACTTATGTTAACAGATTTTAGATTCACACCGGAAGAACCAAACGAGACAATTTGAATTTGAATTTCTGCACCGCCACACACGAGTGCCTAACATGAACAACTTTTCCTCTTATGATTTGCATGTTTCTCTTCGACACCGGAGGCTACACCAGATTCAGAAAATGACTGTTTGTGTGTGAAAGAAACAAATTAGAGGTTTGCGGCTGCACACGAGTAAACAGAAGCACACCAACACGTCTTATACCTGGATGAAAAACTAATTGCACTCAAGAATCAGAGTGCTGTTTACTAATCTATCCCAAAAGAAATAATAAAAAAATGTGCAAAATCTAATCTTTAAATCCAACTAACAGTGAGCCGATACCACACACACACACAGGAAAGGTGTGAGTACCTGACAGGGATTAGTGTGTTTGCTTGTCTCCGTATGTGTGTGTCTTCAGTATTTGTGCTGTTTGTAGTAATCTGCAGGTGAGACTCTCTTTAAGAAAGTCATGTTGCTATATTCAAAGCCCTTTCAGACACACGCAGACAGATCTATCAAGGAGGCCTGGACAGGAGGGATGAAATTCATATCGCAACAGCCAGACAGACACACAAAGCACACGGACTGTGATGGAGGGAAAAGCCTGTCACGGTCTCCTGGGGAGATGAAACCAGCGAGAGGGGGGAAAAGAAAAAAAAAAAACATTTTGAGAAGCAGCATGTGGAGAGGAAAAGACTTTCAGGTCATGATAGATGCCCTCTAATGGCCTGAGGGGAGGGATTTTGGAAATAAAGATTTGAAAATGTTAACACAGCAGGAAACTAACTGATGGCTGATTGTGTATATAAAAAAAAAACCCCCAAAAAACACCACTTTGTCATATCTGATCACTGTTTTCCGATAAAGCATGTAACAGCAGCTCCAGTCTCTTTTAAGAAACTCACCTTTCTGCTGCGATCAAAGCATGACAGTTCTTTTTGCGAGTAAGGTTTGCCAAATCGAGAGCTATCCGAGACCAGACAGCGTGGAGTGGAAGTGAACTAACAAAGTCTCTGAGCCTGCAATAAAAGATCTGTCTTCCTTCGGTCTAACAATATCTTATTTCTACCACACTCCCATAGAGCGGCAGAAAACACACACACACACACACACACACACACACACGCAAAATATTTTGTTCTGCTTTCATAAAGGGTCCCAAACAAGTCCTTCTATTAGCTTCAACTGTTTTGCATATTTTCCCCAAGCGAACTGTAGTAAAACTTTAAAAAGTCAGAACCTTGGGAGTGATATTGTGAGCTTCCTGCTTTCTAAAAGTAGATCTATCCTGGTTTCTGAAAAATGGCTGTCTTTAGACTCCGTTCCAGGTCAAGGAGAAGATGTGAAGAGGAAGTTTTTCAGACCTAACAGACGGGTGACAAATTAAAGGAAAAAAAACCCAAAAAACCATAAAGTGCCTTATTCAGGTGTTTAATGTTTCCTTGGCATTGATCCTCCAAATCTCTGGGACTCTACTGAAGGGAATAACCCCGTTTTCCAATGACATGGAGGTCCAGAACCTTCCACACGCGTTCTGTTGGGTTGAGACTTTACGACTGTAAAGGCCATAGCACAATAATGACATCATTTTAACACTCATCGAGCTATTTAGTGACCTCTGATGCCCTGGAAGCCTGGAATATCATCAGGATGGAAATGTTTTATTAACAACAACTCTGTACTGATTTACAGAGCGTTTTCTCAAATTATGTGAGCAAAATACCCCAACAACATAAAACAGAGCCAACGGTTTGCTCTCACAGCAGAGATTTTTCTTCTTTTTCCTATAATTTGTCACCTGTCCGTAGCTATAGAGTACAGAAAGATGAATTACCATTTGCAAAAGTCTGTTTTCAATCCTTTGGTTTTGTTATTCTGCAATCAACTAGCTATTAGATGCAGAATAGTTTAAAGTTGGGCAAAATGTGAATATAAAGTTATTGCTAACAAATAATGAGTTACCACATAACTAACAATGAAAATCCCAACATAATCTTGAACAGTGATAAATTCTTAGCAACCCTCTCTCCACATCCACATGTGCATCCCTTCCATCCCTGCTTACCTGGAATATGGCTATCCACGCGTAGCCGATATTGTCAAAGTTGACAGCTCCCTTGTGAGGGTTGAGCAGGCCGGGGCGGCACACGTTGTAGTACTGGTTCCAGTTAACGCAGCCGCTGCCGTCGGCCCCGCCCTCCGCAGGGGTCGGTCCGATCAGAGCTGAACTCTGGAGGGGGGCGGCCAGCGAGCACTCGGCCCGGCCCTCGGTGTAGGGTGGCACATTGTGGCAGCGCAGCATCCCGTTCTCACGGGGAGCTGAGCAGATAAACGGGGCGTCTTCACCCTCCTCAGACATGTAGTAAGAATTTATAGACAGGTTGTACATTCTGGGTGGAAGAAGAAGAAGAAGAAGAAATAAAACAAACTGACATTGATTTTACTGAACTGTTTGAGAATAGCAAGATGTAAAATAGGTTAAATTAGACTTATTCTCATTTCTTAAGCGTAATATTTCAGTTTCATGTGCAACATTTCAAATCATCATCATTTAGTTTTTTATTTTATTTCAATCTTGTTTCATACTTGTATTGTTTTCTACTTTCATGCATCTTCTACATTTGTGGGGTTCAGTGCCAAAATGGGCCAAACCACAACAAAACCAAAGTTGAGTTTTATGTTTCTTTGATAAGTGTTGATGCTCTACTACAGGGGTGCCCAATCCTGGTGCTCAAGAGCCCCTATCCAGCATGTTTCAGATGTTTCCCTCTTCCAACACACCTGATTCACATGATCAGGATCGTTATCAGGCTTCTGCAGAGCTTGATGATGAGCTGATCATTTGAATCAGGTGTGTTGGAAGAGAGAAACATCTAAACCATGCTGGATAGGGGCTCTCGAGGACCAGGATTGGGCACGCCTGCTCTAATAGTTTGTGGCAAAGTGGTCCGACCAACAGCCTACGAGTAATGTCACAATGCCACGTTGAAGTTTGGCCCATAGTGGTTTTGGCATGAAAATTTAGCATCAAACTGGGCCAAGCCACAGGAATCACTGACCATTGTATCGCAGGTTGTTTCACGTGTTTGCGATTCAAGATGGCGGACAGCGCAACCTCAAGCCGCATGAAAACTCAATCCATAGGTACGGTAAAGTAAAATAAAAACCTAATTAGTCACCACCAAGCATCTATTTCTACCCCATGGACCTCAAAAGTATCTCTAGTTCCTTATGATGTAAACTCTTCAGTGTTGTTTAGCGAAACAAACCTTGAATCAGTTTTTTTTCTCAAAAAGTAGTAAATGTGGTATGGCCCGCTTTGGCACTCAGCAAAAGGAAAGACAAAATTAAAACTTAAATAAGTCATCACAAAGTAGCTGTTTCTATCTGGACAGTGTTGAGACATCTTTGGGTGCATACAATGACTCCTCCAACAACCAGGACGCTTTTTTAGCAACACAATTTTTCCTCTAAAACTAGTCAATGTGGTTTGACCCACTTTGGCCCTAACCCCTGCATTTTATCATATCTTACCTTATCTCAATTGTAAACACACGTAGACTCATGTCCACTGTGAAAGTTTCTAGAACAGAATGTTGCTCTTACATTAAGAAAACTCTTCTTTTGGTGCTTTTAGGTTGATTATCAATAAGCAGGATCAGATACATTCACACATTGTGCCATTTAAGTTGAGCTTAAACACTGAACTAAGGATTAGATGTGAATCGAACAACATCAAGTAATCAATGATGGCAGATCTATCATTGAGCTGATTAAGTCTTTTTTTTAAGGTGTTTTTTCTTTAAACACCAACAGCAACGATCCGCTGCGTCTCCTGCACTGTTGTCACGCTGTATTTACAACTTAGAGCTACTGTACTCTTCTTCCACAGCTTTTCAATCAGTGATTTCCACTTTAATTAGAAAAAAATCCTCCCAGCAACATAATAACGGGTTAGAGGAACCTGCATTTTTTATAACAGCCACCGCTCGAAAATGACATAAACGCACAGCTGCATCCCATAGAGCAGGTTAAACACCAGCAGCTTCTAGCTCAGCTGTCGGGAAGTTCATTCTTAGTTACCGCTGATTTATTTTTGTTGTTATTTTTGCAAGTTCTCGAGGAACAACTTTTGCAATTTGTGATTCCTCGAAAAAAATCTCAACAACATATAATCATTATATTGAACTTTTTGGTTCGCTGTGAGTATACAGGAGTCATGTGGCCTCTGCACCACTGAGCTGCCGGATACTGAGGAGTAGCCTTAAATAATCAAACTGCATTTGGAAAGGAATCAGCACTTGATGACGAAGTGAGCCAATCATGTTGGTTTCCATGGTGACAGCTGTTTCTACTTATGCTAATGAGCGGTGAACGAGTCCAATGCTTACTTATTTATATCTTTCCTCTAAAATCGAAGGGTTCCCCACAACAGTGACTGTGCTTTTATGCGGAGTGACGTTCACTCTTTGAGTGAGGAAGGAGCAATCCAGGACCAGGTAGACTTTGCTGACCGTCCTCTGCCTTTATTCCCGCAGCGCTCACACAATTTGTGACATCCTTTCTTCTGTCTTGTGACTGTTTTTCCTGTTGCTGCCCCTGTTTATGTCCTACCTTTCAGGACTTCAGTGTTTCTTTTCTCCCGACTCCTGCCGGCCTGACTTTAAACCCTCTGAACTTAAAAAAAAAAACCCGCTGGCAGGTTTAAAAGGCGAATTATCTTTTTGAAAAATTGCCAAAATGACACCGTTTATCAGAGTCAGAAACTGTTCAAATAGAAAAAAAAAAAACAAAAAAAACAACTAAAATTTACTTAAGCCTTTATAAAGCACTCATTGAAATATTTGGGAATTTAAAATTTCAACCCTGGAGTGTTATTGGTGGATACAGGAGGATATTTTTTCTTTTTTTGACATTTTTAAAAAGTTTTTAGATTTAGGCTGTGAATCAAAGTCAATGCAGTTACCATGCACGGTAAAAAAGTAAAAATCCAATCGAGTTACGGAACTTATGACACCTGTGTCAAAATATCACTTGGCTCACTTGTGATTGGTCAGAGGCCATTGTGATGGTGTGTGATGTAGCCTGACCTTCGCTGATTGGCTGAATGAAGTCACGTGATTCTTCCTCCTGCCATTTTTAAAGTTACCATACTTGGTTCCTTAAACTAACCTGTGAGCTGTCATTCCATCAGAAAACAACCAAATCAAAGGTTTAAATTGTGATCATTTATCAATAAAACTTTATTCTACATTTCTCAATTAAGCCTCAATTAGCAGCTCACAATCAGCAGATTCGATTAGTTGTCAACCAGTTAGTGACTGAGCTCAGACTAACAGTCATGTTCATGGATTCCTCAGTGAAACTGGGTTGAAGTGCAGGCAGTGTTTATACAAAGTGGAGAGAAGATACGAACACCAATTAATTAAACACATTAAAAATATAAGTAGTAAAATAACCATGGCTGCAGAGTTACCATTTTTTCAATTCAATTCAATTGAAATAATTGCATTTATCCCCTTGGGGCAATTCAAAATTAATTAGAAATTATAATTATTANGTTCCTTAAACTAACCTGTGAGCTGTCATTCCATCAGAAAACAACCAAATCAAAGGTTTAAATTGTGATCATTTATCAATAAAACTTTATTCTGCATTTCTCAATTAAGCCTCAATTAGCAGTCCACATTCAGCAGATTCGATTAGTTGTCAATCAATTAGTGACTATGCTCAGACTAACAGTCATGTTCATGGATTCCTCAGCGAAACTGGGTTGAAGTGCAGGCAGTGTTTATACAAAGTGGAGAGAAGATATGAACACCAATTAATTAAACGAATTAAAAATATAAGTAGTAGAATAACCGTGGCTGCAGAGTTACCATTTTTTCAATTCAATTCAACTGAAATAATTGCATTTATCCCCTCGGGGCAATTCAAAATTAATTAGAAATTATAATGATTATATTATATACTATTATATTATAATGTTTTTGAAGTATTAGTACATTTCGATGTCAGATTTTCTACATTTTTGTGGAATATGTAATTAATTATGTAATTTCTTTTTATTGAGGCGCAAAATGCATCTTCCAGCCACGGTCATGTTGTTCCTATAGCACTTTATATTCCAGTGAAAATGAGGCCGCAGTGAGCATTAAATGTAACAGGACTAAAAGATGCACACCGTTCTGGAGAAGAAATTATAATCATTTATGTAAATTTAATGTATGTGATCACAGTCGTGTAGATGGAAATGTTAGCTTCCTTGTGATTTGGGGAAATATGTAATACAAGTTTGTAGTTGTTCATGTGCGTTATTTCAGACTGAGATCAGGAAAGCGTTTGTTCTTAGAGAAGACATGCAGCAGCCTTGATTATAAAATATTAATCTGCTGTCTGTGTTTCTGTCTTACACACAGAGAGGGTTCAACATCAGCTCTGGTACAGTTTGTTCCGTTACATCAACAGAATCAGTTCAAGGATCTCTGAGCTACATGGTTTTACTTCCTGAGGTCGTGAACATTTTATTTTCTCTCTCTTCTTTTGATGATTTCACTACCCAGGGCTGAATTAGCTATAAATTAGGGGGAGAGTGAATATGTGTTTTCTGGCAAGATATGTAATATTTGACAAAATGCACAGTGTGGAAGGAAACAGAGTTTTCTCAGGCAGCACATCTCTCTGCACCACATAGTTCTGACCGTCTCAGGTTGAGAGAGTTTTGTTTGGATTTTCCTCAGTTTTAGGTCAGTCCCAACGGTCTGACATTTTCTAGGAGCTGCTTCGAGCGAGATAAGTTTTACATTTACTCTGGGATCTTATCACGTCATTCCACAAAGTTTGAAATGTCACGTTCGGTTTGTTAATTTCCCCGTCGTGCTGATAACGTCAAGGTTGTTTGTTTTGGACTGTTCTTTTACGTTGCGTTGGAATACTATTAATTTTGCTTTTTTTTTGGAGTTCAATTTTGCTAAAGTTTGAGCCCCATCAAGTGTGAAGAGAAGGTTTTCGATGTAAGTTTATTATTACGCATATCAGTTAAAACAGGGCTAACTTTCTATATCAGTCTATATCTATATTTGCAGCATGCATCACATACCAAGCTATGATTTATGCATGTTTGCTGCATGCAACGGCTAATAATTGCTCCCCATGACAATGCTACACAAACTACAACTGTGACTGATGAGGGAGCAACGAAGAGTGGCAGAGAAAGATCACGTTTGACTTAAATGAGCTGAGACGTCAGCTGAAGATTAAAACCGACTGCAACTTCTAACTCCACTTATAAAGTTCGTATTTTTCACTCATTTCTGTTTTTCTCAAGGAGAACGACTTTGAATCGGATCCTATTTCCCCCAAAATGCGTCTTTTCATAAATCTAATCTGGATTTTGACAGAAGAGACAATTTCCCGGGGCCATCTGCGTTACTTCCCTCGCTGAAAAGAGGAATGAAATGCAAATTCTGTCTGACGATCGCTAAAAAAAAAAAAACCCTTACGTGTTTATGTCCTCTCCCAGGAAGCAGCGGTTGCGCAGCAGTCCCGCCCACAGCTGGACTCCCACAATGCCGAAGATGAAAAAGACAAAGAAGCAGAGGAGGAGAACGTTCCCCAGCATGGGCAGGGTGTCCAGCAGCAGCGTCACCAAGATCCTCATACCTGCACAGCAAACAGGAAAGAAAGTAGCTGACCGATATTGTCTGACGTAGAGGAGTTTAAACCCTTGATGGAGAGTTTTGCATACGGTACAGCAGCAGCCCTCTGGTAACTGTTCACCCTGACAGCCTGCATTGATCTTGTGAGTTAAGAAACCACAATTTCATCCTCACAGCTAATAAAAATTCAGAGAGATGACAATAGTGAAAGTGACAGTTTGACATCATTTCATCCTCTGGGATTTGAACTCACGGCTTCCTTGTGGCTACTATTATCTAACCGCATGCATTCAGCATCCATCTCCAGCTGTCAGACGTGTTTAGTGTCAGCGGCGTCAGGGATCCAGTCAGTGATGCTCCCACAACGTGTCAACACACAGTCACAGGCCGCATTGTTAGGTACACCTGTAAGAACCCCGCTAACATACATGAGAGGGGTAACACTTTTAAATGTGTCGCCACCGCCACGCACCATGACGTCAGTAATAAACAGAAAGTAGAAGTGGCACCTTTTGTCAACAGAAACTTCATAAAAGTAGCATTTTCAGCAGTTTATCAGACAGATTATACAGGAGGGCCTAATGAAATAGCCAATAGGTAAATATCACAGCTTTGCTCATTTCTGCTCATAAGATCATTTTTATACTTGAAGTAATACAAAATTTTTTATTTAAGTCCACAATGTGTCTGAAGTCAGTATCAGTATCATGATGTCATGATGACAGATGAAAAATAAAATAAAATAAATTTTTAAAAAACCCCAAAAGGCCTTTATTGTGACTTCACCACTGCTCTAAATTTATACCAACGACTACAGATCATTTTCCACTAATACAACCTCACTCAGTTTTACATGAAATTATTACTGTGATGTATTTTTAAACTCTGATTTTTTTTATTTTTTAGTGAATTTGATTTATTAAATTTGTATTAGTTATTATATTTATTATAATTATT